ATTGTGGGCTATCTGCATGCCCTCCTCTGGAGAGTGTGCTTCACCCCAAGATGTGGGAAGTACAAATAGGAACTCTTCCCTCTGCCCAAAGGGGCTGCTGCTTCTGTTTGTAACGAGGCAGGGAGGCCAGCTCCACAGCGAAGGCATGCTCAGAGGGAGAAATAAAAGGACAAATGTAGTAATAAAAAGGACAGTGGGTGTGAATTTTGAGAAAGTTCTCAGTTATTTGAACTTTAGAACCACTGAAAGAACAGAGAGAGGAAAGTAACTGACTTCTGTTTCCAAATGTGGTTAATATCTTCACTGACTGCAGGAATTGTGGCCTAATGGGGGGACTCCTGAAGTGTACAGCTGAATTCTGTAGGCTTGGGACTAAGCCCCATCCTGGGAGAACGACCTTGTCTCTTACATTTAAAAACTTCTCTGGGCTTAATCATCTGACTTATACACTGTAGGGCAAATACATTTGACTTGGTTAATTGCCATCTTAATTGACCGGGGTGGGAGGGAGCCTTCCTGGCTGTAAGTGAAATAAATTGGACACTTTTTGTGGTTTACAGATGAGGAAGAAAGTATTTTACATTAAAACACCCACACAAACAAACAACAACAAAAAAACCTACTTGTTTTGCTCTAGTGTACCTGGAAGTTGTGGTTGCACAGTGTGTGTATATCCTGTGGCTGTTATTCCTATAATCGGGTAGACTGACAGCAATGGTTGGGTGTCAAAGTACAGCATTGGTTTTAATGTTCTGTAGGGAAATGTGCGTGCTCTGGATGCTGACTGCAATCCATCTGCTTTGGTACCCCTACAAAACGAGCAATGCAGTTTGAGCAAATACACTTATATTACATACACAAATATTCTCAAAATATTCTTATATCCTTGTTGAAACCTTATTTTGCATGGGTTTTACTGTTGCTACTAAAGGAAAAAAATTGTATATGTGATTAAATAGAATATATTTTTATATATAAAGAGTTTTAAAATTTTGAATAAGTGGTAGGAAGTTTCTTGTAAATACCAGCGTTCAAAAAATTGTGGGGTCTTAGCTGTGGTTATTTTATTAAAAAATGGTGTTTTGCTGCACTCTGGTGGCTATTTAATAAAAAAAAAAGTCTTGCAAAGGCCTATTCTGTCTGGCCTCAGAAAGATTCAACTGGCTTTTATAAATTTTACTTTATTTTCCCCAGTTTTGGATGTAGCGCTTGTGTGGCTCTCTTCTGGACTTCTCAGCACTCCTTCAGCGACTGTACCCTGTTGGGCAGCGCTAAGGGGAAGATGTGTTCCTCCAGGTGCTCCTAATGCTCTTCTGTGTCTGTTTGGTTTGATGTGCCTGAACTCTCTTTTTATTTTGCTTGTTTTAGTTTGATTTTTGGTTGGGTTTTTGTTGTTAATTGCTCAGGCCTGAAGAGTGTAGTGTGTGGTTTTTTATTTTCTTTTTTAATGCAAAGTACAGATGGTTGGCAAATGAGAAAAACACTGAGAGTGACTCTGTTTATTTACATTATTTCAAGTAATAATGCTTCTTTAAATCTCTTGGGTTCAAATATGTCTTTGTACCTCTTTCCCTTCATGTTGATATTGCTCTAACTGGGAGAGTTTAGACAGCATCCTGTAGAGTAGGGGGGGCTGGGTGCAGTCTGTGTCTGTACATACCTGATATGAATGACTGAAAAAACATTTTTAGTACCGTTAAACCAAGTAGTCAGTGTCTGATTTATCGGGGGTGCAAAGGGAAGCTCGAAAGAGTGTTGGAGGAAAAGTTGATCTTCAGCACTACTGGAGCCTTTTATAGACACCTTTTTATTTTTTATTGTGACAGCTCCTGCTGTGAAGTCGTGCAGGCATAAAAACGTGAGGCTGAAATTGTAGTGTTACAAAGAGAGAATCCTTGCGGTCAGTCATTTGCTAAAACATAAAGAGCAAAGCAGAAACACAAGTTTAATGAATTGGTTTGATATAATCTTGTGTGTCTGTGTTTCAATATCCTTATCTTTATTTATTAAAGCTTTTTGATATAAAGGCTAGTCCTTGTTGGATCTTTACCCTGCAGGTATGTAGCAGTAGAGCTTCACCAGCCAAATTTAATGTTTTTTCACTTGCATCATCTGAGAGGTCTGGATTTATTACGTTAGTTCAATACAAGCCATTGTGTTGCGCTACAAATCTGGCTGCTTTTGAGCACACCATGTGTTCTGACGCACTGCAGCTGGTAGTGGATGCTTCAATTATGGATGTTTAAATAGCGTGCCGTTTTTAGATCCGTACACCATTATTACATGTTCTGGTGTGTTCTGTTTTATCCTGGAGCACAGCAGCAGCTATGCTTAGGCTCATGTAAGGTAACTTGGGCATTGATTTCATAAGTCGAGAAAGTCAGCATAAGATTCATCAAGAGTGTAAGACTAACCAAGGGAGAAGCTGATCTGATGGAGTGGAACTGAAAAGCATGCAGATGGGCAGGGGTGTCGGTCACTGAACCGAAAAAGCATGAAGCTCATGGCTTCAGTGGGCACTCAGTGACCTAGAAACATTGTGTTAACTCCAACTGGATAAATGGCTCCAGGTTTGTTGTGCAGGTGTTTTTGTGTGTGTTTTGTTATTTGTTTGCTATATTTTATGTGTGCCATGTGGATGTATTTGCTTGATTTTTAACAGCTGAACAAAAATCAGTTATGGGTAGAGCCCTGGGTCTTGATAGCCATGTAGCATGCGTGCAGAGAGTGATATTCCCAGTATCCTTGCAGTGCTGCAGCAATACATTCCAAAATAGATCCTTTTACTCCCCCCTTTCTGTAGGGACCTCATTAAAGCAAACAGCATTTGACAGTCCCTTAGATGGCATGAGTGGCTCTCCTGCTTACAGGAGCAGGAAGCAGAGGTGGCAGGAAAAGCCGAGGTAGAGCTGCCTCTACCGAAAAGAAGAGGGTTAGATCTTGGAAGACAAAATAGATCTGTGCAAGGGACTGAAAAAGGATGGCAAAGGTTGAGGATATAGCTTCCTTTTCTGGAGTTGATGTGTCACTGGCAAAAAAAAAAAAAAAAAGGCAACAAATGGTGTTCTCTTTATTGGCTATTTTGAGCCCTGACAAATGTTCTGGCTTTGGGCTCCTCTGAAATGCTGCTTTCTATGCTAGCGTGGATGCAACAATAGCAAAATTCATAGCTGAGGTGTGGGGTGTGTGCTTTGGAGAAGGTATTAAGGTATACAGCTGAAGAAGCTGTCTATATTTATTTCCTCAGGGAAATACGTAATTCATTTAAATTGCTCCCTATCAAAGGCCTGAAATTATAGACTATGGTGTATGGCGTGTATATTTCGTACTATGAGAAACTTACTGCTTATGAATGTACATGATGAACTCGTGTTAGCTGTAAATTCAGTCTTGCTGGCTCTTCTGGCTCATTTAATTCTCTGAATAGTAAATAAAGGGGCTGTAGTTTGTGTGACTCAAAAAGCACCCATCGGTCCTGCCGGCGGGGTCCACTTCCTTACCCCAGTTTTATGTAATATGTCAACTACAAATCTCCCTGGACAGATGCAGGGGATGCTAGGTAAATAAGTGAGTTTATCCCCATTTCGCTGACGTGCTAGAACCTATTCAATATAGGGCAACAGCCAGCACAGGCTCTGTGTTCTCTGTGTGGTTGCTTGTGTCAGGGTAATCAGAGATACAGAAGCTACTTAGGGCACTGTAACATGGTCTGAGATACACACCTACACACCGTCTTCTTCCAGGGTTTGCTAGGGAGGGGAGTAAGGGAATAGGTACCAAGGGCTGTGCCAATAGTGTTCATCTTCTTTGGTCAGGTTTACAGAGCTTTACGGTCTGACTAAAAGAGCCATGATAACATGAACCTTCTTGTTACAGAACAATTCGCTTTTAAAGGTAGGCTGCAGATGCTGAATCTTTCATGAACAGAAATGAACCCTTCTCTATTTTTCAAAGTGGAGGGGAGGAAGATGGAGTTGATCTGAATTGTTGCTGCCACTCAGTAGTCTACAACAAGCACTAAACTAGAACTTGGATTTCATGGCTTCTCTTTCTTTTTTTAAAGAAACATCAATGAGGTCATAACAGGTTTGTACTTGCAGGTATTACTGAGCAGAACTGGCCAAAGTCTTTCAGTAAAATAGTGTTTGTATTGCAAGGTGCTAGTACAGTGAAGCTGAAGCTGGTCAGGCTAGGATTTAAGCACGTTGTACCACTAACAGCCTACATCTGATGTGTGTCCTATTTCCCCTCTACCTACTGCACCGCCTGCAGTAACTGACCAAGGCGGTACATTGAGGTACACTGAGACACAACCTGGGCCACTCGTGTTAGCAGAGGTGAAGCAGAGCTGCGGGCAAATGCAGGCCACCCCAAAACACACCCCGGTGTTCATGGGTGAATATCACCGTGGCCTTTGTGCTGCTTCTGCTTGCAGTAATTGAGTTGGTACAGATTTATAGTGCTGCCTCTGACCTGGCAACAAAGCAGCCTCTTTTCTGTATTTTCTGTGCAGTGCAAGGAGGTAAAATGTGATAGAGATTTTCCTCCCTGCGTGCTCTGTGCTTGAGAGAGAGAGCGACTCACTAGTTGTTGTAGTAGTACATGTGGGCATTGAAGACATAACTGATTATAACAAGTGGTCCAGGCTGTATTTGAAGGAAAATCTTGTACTTTCAGGCCCGATGGAATAATTAGAAAAAATATTAACGGGAGTTGGACTCGATGATCCTTATGGGTCCCTTCCAACTCAGGATATCTTATGATTTGATGATTCTATGGTATGGGAAGGATAAGAAAGACAAAAACAAACAAACAAAAAAACACTACATCTAACCCTTAATAAGGACTGACACGTACTCATTGCTGAACGGCAGAATCAAAAAGATCATAAGGAGTGCAGTGTGGAGGAATTATGATTGTGATAGTTCGGTTAAGGTCCCCAAGTGGGTGCTGTTCCTTTTATGCTGCACTGGCAGTAAAAGAGAGTGAGCCATCATTGCTACATTTAACACTTGTACATTTTTATTTAGTTAAATCAGCCATTGTACACATTGCAGCTATGTATTGTTAGTGTTGTTTTTTTTTTTTTTAATTTTTAACTAATACATGCCCTCATAGATATATTCAATTAGTGTTATCACCATGGGAACAAGATGCTGATTCGTCAACTTAAAATTCACTTCTTCTCACAGTATTCAAGTTCTTTGATAACACAGCAAAAAATCAAAATAAGAGGTGAATAACCATTATGCTGTTACACAGAACATCATCTGCACCGCAAATAACACAACAGAAATGCATTTCTTTAGAGCCCCATTCTTGTAGATCATCCTCTGCTGTCTTTGACAATAAGAAAGCCATGATGTATCGTGAAATGTCTCATCATGGGTCTCATTCATTTTGGCTACCAAAACACCTTTTTTTTTTTTTTTTTTTCTGCCTGCCAAAAAAAGTGTTAGCATGGCACCTCGGGTTGCTTTGCCTGCTGGAAGCCAGAACTCCCAAGATGTTTTTATGCTTTTGGCATCATTATCTTAATGAGAAGTGCCCTTGTTCTGAGCACTGAGTGAGTCATAAAAAAACAACCAAGCAAACTATAATCATAGAAGGCCTGATAAACTTGGAAAACTCTTACCACCTACAGGAGAGGATTTGTTTTTAATCTTTCTCGAATATACTATTAAAAAAAAAAAAAAAAACAAATAGCTGTTTAAAAACATTTAGTGTGTTTGCGTGTGTTACATGTGCTAAAACACTACAGAGTGCCTGCCACTAAATATTAAGGTATAGAATACCAAAAATGTCAGCTCTTTGTTTTCTTTTTTTGAAAATAAAAGTGCAGATATGCTATCATGGTTCTCAGAGGGTTGGTTTAGAAATATATATCTTATATATAGATAGGTAACAAAATATGAACAGAAAGTGGCTTTCAAGGATTGTGAGCTTTCTCTTTAAAAAACACTTGATTGGAGGATAAAAACTGCTCGCTCAGTGCTAAGAGGGCCAACAAGTTGACATGATTACAGGAGGGTTTGCTTTTGACCTTCAAATGCGACATGCATTTATTGGATAAGAGGCAATCTTGATAAAATATGGTGAATTAATTATTCTCTTTGTATAGTGGTTAAGTCTTTCTCCCGTAGTTATCTACAGTGCAGTGGCCAGCAGGACAGTGTGGTTTGCTAAAGCAGTGATGAAAACAGGAAACTACTGTAGTTATAATTGTTTAATACACCCTGCCACATGTCCAGATCTAAAAGATTTTAATACCGTATGCAAATGTGCCATAGATATAGCTGCTAGCAAGTTGGTTACCTAATTGGGTATTTTTAATTTTTTTTTCTTTTTCTGGAAATCTTTAAGTGGCTGTCCAAAGGTCTTAAAAGTATCGATGGCCACAGTCAGCTGTTACTTCAGGAGAACAGCTGAGTTTCCAGGTTTTTAGCCTGACTCTTAGAGCCTTTAACTATAATAGATCCCTAAACTGGAAGTCTTATGGATGCAGTGGATCTGCAGTGCTTCCTCCTCAGTCAGTCTGTGTTCGTAGTGTTAACATTATTTTATTAATTGCTGTTCAGCAGTGTCAATAGACCTTGTAATCCATGATGCTAATTGTATTCAGAGGCAGTGTGTTTTCTGCAGTCTTGTAAGTCCAAATACTCTTGCTATATACAGTTTACATGTTAACTCCCTTTTTTTCATGATGCATGTACATAGTCACTTGAAGAGGCCTGTAGATGAAGTTGGCTTGACAAATGCAGTTTCATGAAGCTAGTGCAGAAGCAAATGACCAGCAAAAAGTGGCAATGCTGACAAATTCCCAGTACAGCACAAAGACGACGATTCGGTGGATAAATCATCCTGAATGAAGGATGCTATCTTTGGTCACAAATTAGCTTACAGGGTAAAAAATAACAAAAACCCAAAATCAAATACAGGGGAAAAAAATGAATTCACTGCATCTGCACAAGTAGAAATGGCAGTGTCTTCCAGTGATTATGTAGATAACAATGTCTACACCTAGAGAAGATGAATGTTGCATACTGGATGGATGGTTACGTGGTGGTGTTGAGGGGTGGCAGCTTCTCATTTAGCATCCTGTTTCCAGTCCTCTTTGCAGAAGTGTCTAAGAAGCTGCTGGAGGTCGTGTTGGAGGTCATCCTGTGGTAGTGCTTCTGGTGTGTCATCCAGTTCTTCTATATGAACGTGTTTTCCATACCGGTCCTTCATCACAGTCCTCTTCTGTGTGCTGGCTTTATTCAGCATTGTCCTAAAGAAAAAGAATGAGAAATCTTTCTTAGAGAGCCCACAGTTTCTGAAGGCTTTAAGAGATGCTCCTCCCCAGGTGGAATTTTAAAGTTTTCAAATTTTATTTAAAGTAAAACGAGAAGAATTGTAAGCTGGCAGTTTAAGCCGGCTACTAAGGTCAGATGTTCTTTATTCACTCTGTATTGAACGTAACACACATCACCACTTAACTGGCTTTCATAATGTAAACGAGTGGCAGTTCATCTCCTCATGCTTATTACACATACAGTTTTAGATGCTCAGCAAAAATGTGTTTTAACATTGGCATGCAACACACTTTGAAATTCACACAGGACCTTCCTAATTGCTGTATTTCGCTTCTACACTCAAAGTCGTCCTGTAGAACATTAACATAAGATTCCTGTATGGTACTTTCAGTTTCTTAAGCTACTGGCTTCTTCAACACTTGCTTCTGGGCAAGCCTGCCTTAAGACAGTCAGTTAAACTGTATTTGCTGATGCTTAAGTTGATGTGTGTGAGAGAGAAAATGCATGCGTATTTGACTTATATTTATATCCATATATCCTCTCATCCATTTTGATAGTGATCATCCCCAGTACAAAAAAGACAGGGATCTTCTGGAAAGAGTCCAGTGGAGGGCCACAAAGATGGTACGGGGCCTGGAGCATCTTTCCTATGAGGAAAGGCTGAGAGACCTGGGGTCTGTTCAGCCTGGAGAAAAGAAGACTGAGAGGGGATCTCCTCAACGTGTATAAATACCCTGAGGTGTGGGGGACAGAGGGATTTGGTTTGTGGGGACAGGACAAGGAGTAATGGCCACAGGACAGAGCCCAGGCAGTTCCACACCAACATGACAAAGAACTTCTTCACGGTGAGGGTGACGGAGCACTGGGACAGGCTGCCCAGGGAGGTTGTGGAGTCTCCTTCTCTGGAGATATTTAAGTCCCGTCTGGGCGCCTACCTGGGCAGCCTGCTCTGAGGAACCTGCTTTGGCAGGGGGATTGGACCCAATGATCCTTCAAGGTCCCTTCCAACCCCTTCAATTCTGTGACTTGAATATTGAGTCAACTGGTATGAAAAAATATTTTTGAAGTATTCTTGATTAATGTTGTTAACTGTAAATCATACTACTATTATTTTGTATCACCTCCAAGGAAATCAGCCAGGCAGCGATACACCTTTATACTGAGTCTAGCTAGGATGGCGTTACCTTTCGTCACAGCAGCAGCCTGTATGGTGCAGTGTTTTGGCTTTGTGCCCCCAACTGTGTTGGTAACAGACCAATGCTTTGGCTACTGCTGAACAACAGTGCCTGCACAGCATTAGGACTTTGGTTTTGGTTTTGTCCCTCCTGACTCTGTGCTCCTCATGGGTGTACTGGGGCTGGGCAAGAAATTGGATGTAGACACAGCCAGAACAGCTGACCCAAACTAGCCAGAGAGGGTGGTGGATGTCATATAGCATCATGCTCAGCAATAATAACTGACGTAGAGGAAGAAGTGGGTTTGTGGGAGTGTCTGTCTGTCCTTCAAGGTGACCGCTGCCCAGAGACTGGCTGGGCATCAGACTGCTTATGGGAGGTGGTGAATGATTCTTTGCATCATCCTTTCTTCACTTACTAAATTCTCTTTATTCAACCCTGTCCCAAGGAGAGCAGGGAAGGAGGATTAGCAAGCAGTTGTGCCCCACTTAGCTGCTAGCCCACAACACCCTTATTGACCAAGTCTTTTCAACTGATTGTAGACCTTTCCAGTGTGTATATCCCTTCCTGTAACAGAATGTTAGTAGTAATGATTAGTACTTTTGTAATGAAGCTTTAGATACTGCCAGTGGTTTCACTTTACACAATTAAATCCACATCTGTTCATATGAGTTTGTTAGTTCTTTTCTAGTAACAGTTCACTGACATGCCAAGCCAAACCTTTTAATAATTGATCCATCCTCTTTCATGATTTCTTTCTCTACTAAAGCAGGGAGCTGGACTTTCATTTGGTTACCTGTATAGCTCAATGCCTCAAATTAAAACATAAACTTCCAATTAAAACATAAGAACAGAAACCTAGGACAGAAGGTAATTGCTCTTCATACCTTAATACTTGATATAAATGAAGCTGAATGGTGAGAAAATGATGAATAGACAATAGAGAAGCATCTGACTGCCATTTACATCCTTACAACCCTTCCCCAAACATACAGGTTAGTCACAGTTTTTTGGGTAGGACAGTGTCACTGTGCTAAGAATTGTACTGAAGCAATCTTAGTACTTCCAAGTTTGAAAGAGCCCAAATCAAGGCCCTGGAGCACCACGGTTACAGAACTCATCCTGTGTGTCTATTTACAACAGCCACTACAGCAACACTTTTCCTGTCACAGAAAATACTCTCTTTTATAGCTGTCCCACCTGTCAGCTTGAGTTGCTTGTTCTCTGTAACTAGACAGGCATACATAGAAATAGATGAAATGAAAGAATCAGGGAATTGGAGCCTGGCAAGCTCTTCCACAGAGTATCTACTGTTACTAATACTTAAAGAAAACAAAAAAGGCAGCATTTTTATTCCTTGTTGGCTGTGTGTGATCTTCTGTGTTTAAATTCTGTTACTGAAATGTCTAAACTGATCAGAAAAAGCATAAAAACAGGAAAAGTGTTAATTAGCTTGATAGCTATTTCTTCCTTTCAAGAGGAAAAGGAATAATTGTTGTGAGACATCTGCCTACTGAGAGAGTAGACTTAACTGTTTCAAGTTCTAAAATTAGGTCCATGAGGGGCACTGTATGGATGGCCTTCTTTACGAGTAACCACACACACAATTTCTACCAACTTTACTTAAATCCTCTGTCTTATTATATATTTTTTTAATCTTAAAAAGTTTCACAGTTAATTCTGTAATGGCAGCTTCTTCCCCTGTGCATACCTTAATATATTGATCTTTTCATAACATGGCCAAGTATTACAACAGAGGTTTGTATTTGGTAGTTGAGTTTAATGCTCCACCAGCAAAACTTTCAGTAGAGTTTGTCTCCAGGTATGTTGTGACACTTGTTTTATTTGTTACATTAAAAAGGCATCTTTACCTCTTCAAAGTCCTCTTTGGCTGACGGAAGATCAGTAGCTAAGCTAGCATCTCCTAGGTGTTTCTCTGTTCTCTCTCCTTGCACTACAGTTGTCTTTATGACTTTGCTGACCTTGCGGCCTTCCACTGGTTCAGACTGGAAATTGGAGGCACTGGGCAAAACACCTGGTTCAGACAAAGTCACCTGGAAGGTTAGAAAACAGATTTATATTGGATACGAATTACATAGCAAATAAAATCCTAATATCTGTTCTGTGATTCTTTCTTAATCATTGCCACAGAGAACAAGAAACGTCTCACTTTCTAAGCATACACATCAAAATAGCGAGTGTATATTTTATTACCTGCTTTACAGCTCCAGAACAAGACCTTGTAAATATCTACCAGTTCAGACAGCAGGAACAGCCCTAGAGAGCATGTTCAGCTGAGAAGCTTTATGCTACCAGGGTGGAAACTGCTCCTGGAGCCTGAACTAGCTTGAGGGTAGCAGGGATGCTGCCACCCTCCACCACACCACAGGCTGCCAGACTGGCTCACGTGTTCCAAGGCCACTGGAATTATAGGAAGCAACAAGTGGGCCTCTTGCAGTGAATCTCCAAAATTCCATGTATATGGGCTCCATGTGATATGGAGTAGTTCTGCTATGGTCAGCTAACTTTAAAAAAAAAAAAAAAAAAAAAAAAAAAGGCTTTGTTTTTATGTTCCTTTACACTCCTAGGGAATTAATTCTGATGATCAATTCTGGCGAGAGAGAACAGTAATCATGTTCCTAGCATTTTGAATGTCTGTTAGTGAAACATTGCTTCCAATTGCAGTGCTGCTGAAATGAATTTATTGGCTTCTTGCTTCTCTGTCACAACCTTAATTGAGCTAATACAAACATCTATAGGGCTGCATTGTGATCTAAGGCAGGAAAAGATAAACTGAGAAGAACTTTGCAGTTGCTTTTTTCTTTCTTAATTGTCTGGCTCTATAGTTTGCATGAAGGTAACACTTCTGTTTAGCATCTTCAAATCCAAGAATGCATGAGTACTTTAAACCTGATACAACTGGATAGTTCTAGAATGGCTTAGCTGTAGAAATCTGGAGAACATCAGATCATTTCATTACAATATTCACCAACTTCCTTATTAGAGGATGATGTATAATAACAAAGGCACACTTGCCATTTATCTATATGCCATCTTGGTACATACTGCTTTCTTTATGAATTTAGAACTTCTCATGAATCACACTCTGTATCCTGACATGTTTTCAGAGACAACTGTCTCTTCTCCCACCCCCTGCTTTTCTCTGTCTTTTTTGGAGGCCTTTCCATCTGCAAGGAAACTCTTCAAAGGATCATTCAGAAATGAATGTTACTGCCATAAGATGTAGCTATTGGGTACACTGGTGGTGGGCGTACTGCAGCTTTGTCCCATCACAAGGGAAGTGGATGATCTGACCTCTGACTGTTCGCTGTCACTCTTTAGCACAACCCGTTTTAGAACTTTGGAATAGCCATCTCCTTCTTCAACGGTGACAGGTTCTTGTGGTGTTCCTTGCATTATGATGTCTTCTTTTTCTGTGCCATCTGGAGAAACATATCGCCGGATGATCTTTCTAGTGACCTGAAGGAATGAAATAGAGCTTTGTCCCAAAATAATTAGCAATTCCTTCGTGTTCTCTCTACAGAACTTTCTACTCAAAGGGCATCTTTCCTACACAGAAAAACCTACATAGATGGTTCAGCATTTTAGTCTTTAACGCACATTCTCACAAATACCTATAGTAAAGCTGCACATTGATGCACTGGCCCTGCTTTGTTTATCCCACAGCAAAGCTTCCATAAACCTATTTCACAAATGGAGTGAAGATATATACAGATATGAGAATGACTCTAAAATGGTGGTTACTATTAGGAGAAGCGGTATAGCCTCTTAGAGAGAAAACAGTTTACAACAGCATAACTGCTAAAAGTCATTTTTAGACTGTCTTTTTCAAAAGCATCAACTAATTAAAAAGCTTCTGAAAATAAGAGGTTATCAACTTTGCTACCAAGTACTTAGAACTAGATCTGCAGAGGGACTTGGTCATTACACTATTATTGCTCGTGGTACTAACACTGCTGCCCTAGAGACCTAGAATTAACTCGCTTAAGAGACATAATCTGGTGCTTAAGCTTTCTAGGCAGTGGCAAGCCAAACACAGAGCAGCATAAGAGAATTAAAGGGCTCAAGATGAGCTAAATCTCTCAGGAGGATGGCTACACATCTTTCTGTGGACACATTTCTAAATGCTTTCACAGCTCCTTCTGACAAGATATTCTGGTGCCAGTGAAAACTGAACTGTATGTACAGCTACAGAAATTCAGGAACCTGCTTGGACACAGCTGAGTGAAGATTTCAAAGGCCTAAAGTCTGGATTTAGGTGACTTGTGGATCTAGCCCCCCACTGGTTTCATTAATATGAGTACACTTATACTCTTAACTATTTATTTAAAAAACTAAAAATAAAAAATCAGCACTTCCTCAGAAATGGTCAGGTCTATGTAGAATTCTCATCGGATTTATGTGGGAAAGTTAAGCAATATGTTAAGTTATAAAAAAATAAATAAAACAGAATACTCCAAATCTTCACATCTTGGAATCTCTCAGGAACAGAAATTCTGGCTTCTGCTATGCTCAATTTTTAAAAATCATGCCCTTTACAAAATAAAATTGGGCATGTATGTGGATTTATTTATTCTTCCTTTAAAGGATAGTAAGAAGGTAGCAAGGGTTGTAACTGATAATACCTTCTTTACCACTGTCTGGCCATGTTCATCTGTATATTGCTCTTCTGTGACTGTTTCTGGTGGCATTTCAGGCATACTATCAGCCTGTATAACAAAGAACAAAATTTAAGGAAGCAATGTCTTAATGCAGGTTGTTGTTTTTTGTTTGTTTTTTTTTTTAAAAAAAAAAAGAAGCAACTTTAAAATCAGTTAGAATAAAATTGAGAAATGTTAGAAAGAATTTGTTCTGCACTTGAATACCTAAAGACGTGCAAAGGAAAGTTACAAAATGGACAGGCAAACGTGTTAGTTGACTGTGCTGCGTATTGTCCTCTTACTGAGGTGCTTAATGGGGTGTAGAGTTGTGTTAGCAGTATTACTACAATCCTCTTTTCAAGAAGAGGTATTAGAATGGTTTATCTAATGACCATGCATTATTCAGGAGCACTGCAGCTTCAGGTGCAATACCAGCCACATGGTTCTCTCAGCATCACTCCTGAAGGTATTACACCAGACATTAGGCACCACTGGCTCGTGCAATCATTCAACACTCAGTACCTGAATAATCACCCGGCGACGAATGACCCTGGTAGTTACCACCTCGTCCTCGTCCGAGCTGGTCTCCAGCTCGCCTAACTCCTCTGCTAGCTCCTATGGGAAGCATGGAAGCAGTGCTCTGTTGTATGCATTGCTAGCGTTATTTACAGTCTCTGTCTTCTTTTTACCTAAAACCATCCTCTCTTCTGAAAACTTGTGCTTTCAGGATTTTGCCTCTTACCTGACTTCAGTCTGTAAAACACCGATGTAGGGGCAGGGGGAAAGCTTTAGCCACTTGACTGTACATTAGTTGTTCATTAGCATGTTGAAAGAAGCTCAGTCTTTGTGATATTAATTCTATAAGATGGCCTTAAGTTGCTTCAGTGCTCTTAAGGTTGCCAGAGACAAGCCTGAAATATGTTGGATGACATGACTAAGATGAACCAGACAGTATTGCTAACACCAACTCTGGCATTCATATGTATTACGTGTGTTTTCTGCATTGTGCAGAAATCTGTACGAAAGCCTTTTAGTCCTCCATACTAAGAAGTGCATAGCATAGCATACAGACAGTAGGACTCAGCAGCTTTAACTAGAGGTGAATGTATCGACAGTCTCAGCACTGGAAAGAAAAAGTTAGTTACAAGTGTTGAGGTTCTCCTGCACAGGGAAGAATTCAAAATTTAAATGAAGAGGTCAGAAGGCAAAGAGAAGCTGAAAAGAACTACTTGGGAAACATCTACAGTATAAAAGCATAAGGGGGAAAATAAATATTTGGTGGGGTGGGTTTGGAGGAGATGAGGATTATTGTAGCGATTCAGTAGTACATTATGCTTGACAGCAGCCGTTGTATTGAGTCCTAAGCTAAGCTTTCAACATCACATTTATCCTACGCATTTTATATTCGGCATTCTTCTGAGATCTTGGAGGCGGATCTCTGAGACATCACTCTAGAGGTGGTACATTTGGCAACATAAACAGCGAAGAAAGAAGAGTCTGTTCCTAGGTGAATGTCTAAACAGGAAACCAATTCTTAAAAACTGTTCTTTCTCTGCTCTAACTTCACTGATAAAACTAATTTCCTGCTCAATTATGCCTTCTGTTCTGACTCTTAAAACAGGCAAAAAAAAATGCTGTTTATTCTTAAACCTAATCTGCCGAGTACCTTATATTCCCCCGAAAGCCATGTAGTTGCTCTCCTTTATTCCCTCTGGACTTTTCACCAAATATTCAAGAAGGTTCCTTTGTCTTACACAGCCAAATGACCTACCTCATATACATTTTGCTCCCCTCTTCCATTTGCTGTCTCCATTTTTCTTTACTGCTTGCATGCTACATAAACACCATTCTCAAGTTTTTCTTCCAGTGCATCTTTAGTCTTCTGAACGTACATCCTGCTGCCTTTTTTTCCATCTCACTAAGTTTACAACGTTTTTCATGTCATTCTTCCTGATGCTCTGAGCCAGCCTTGTCTTCTTGAGCTTTTAATGTTGTAACTTTGCGTTTTGTACATCTATTTTTCAGCATTCACTTGTACATGGTTTGCTTCTGCATCTGTTACTTACACCAAGTAACTCTTTCCCACATGCATGGACATAACTGCCACAGATCAAAGGACAAGTAAGGCTAGCAAAACCAGAATTACAGTTTAGACTTTAGGATCTTGGTTTTGCTTCTGCTATCAAAACCTCTACACAAATGACTATAGCTAGCCCTCAGAACCACAGAGGAAAGGGAAAATGGCTCAGCTGCAGATGAAGATTAATCAGGCTCATAGAAAAGATTCCCATTTTAAGAATGACAGGACATAAAACTTGTCCACTGTGTTAATTACTTTGAGGAAAAGCTGGTATTTACCTTTTCCAAAGACTCCTCCTCGTAGCCACTTCCAAGCTTTTCTGGCTGTTCATCGGTTGACTCCACTATCACTAGACTAGTTCTCCTTGGAGAGACGTCATCCTGATGGAGCTCAGGCTCCTCGGGCTCTTGGATGATGGGAGATTCACTGCTCTGCGAAGATGATGGGGAACGTGGGGATGATTTTTCTCTCTCTTCCTTTGCCACGCTGAAGCATGCGGATTTTTCATTTGCTGCCTTTCCAGTTTCTGGTGCTGCAGACTGCTCTGTTCCTGGAGTTGTGACACTGTGAATTACAGGTTCAAGAGTTTTATCAGATAACTGTAGTCCACCTCTGAGGGTGACTCCAAAGGGTCACATCAGACTTATGCTGATTGCATTAACATTAACCATTTCACTGCCTCGAATCACCTGTTGAGGCTTGCTCTTCTCTTTTCATACATATAGGTATGTATGTGTATATATATGTATGAAAAGAGGAAAAAAAAAAATATATATATATTATGTATATGTATACACACGCACACACATAAAAGCAGTGAGCCTGTAAGAATTACAACTTTAACTTTTAAAACTTTAGATGTTTTGGAGCTAGCATCTACACGCATTGTGTTTTTCCTCTTGTCCTAAAAATTAACAGAGGAAATTGCGAAGTCTTACTAGCTGTGAGTCCAGATTCCTTTCTACATAGCCAATCCCATGACTAGATAACAGTTATAGATTAACTTGCATGTGTATATGTTGTTTTTTTCCTGGTATAAGTTGTGTTTTGACAATTTATTGTGCTCCCCCAACTATTGCCATCTACACAGCTGTGTTCCAAAGAAAGAAAACAATTCATTGTAGTACAAGTTAAACAGCATTGATCTGTCCTTTTTTCCCATTCAGTGGGCTATATGCATTATTGTAGAATTTCTCTTCTCATAAAAGCTTCCTCTTCATATAAAGCTACTTATATCTAGCCCAGTTTTCATCCTAGTTCACACTAGAGGTGAAGGACAGCGATTTTCCCCTGTCATTGCTACTCTCATTTTAGCATTGGCAATACTGTCTCAATATTTTTTGTCTTTGGCGGTAGCAGTAGCTTTAAGGAATCCATGCTCTGACTGCAGAATACATGCAAATAGCTTATTGACATTTCTACCAGCTGTCAGTATTTGCAGGTAAGTTATTTGTCTTCCGTAACCTTAATAATACCTGTGATAGTCCACTTCGTATGTATGTGTTTGGTTTTATTGTACTGGACTTTGTTCTTTCTGTGCAGAATTGTGCCACTTGAGCAGCTAAAAACACACCATTAAAAATTACCCTCTATTCCTCAAAAGCATTTGTTTCCTTTCTTATGCAAATCATTAGGAAGTATTGGTATTTTTGCATATCAGTGCAACCTAGGCCTACCTTGGATGCTTGTTTCTGTCTCCCAGCCTCTCTTCAGGTTGTAAAACCTCTCCGTTCAGAGCTGTATCTCCACATCAAAGCTAATTGCTCCTAGGAAAATCACCAGTTTGGAAGGGAATCCTCCCTATTTTGCTAGCCCATGAATACCTGAATCAAAGAGTTGTCACTGTGGGTGAAAGGATGAGTAGGACCAAAGAAACTTGATCCTTTTCAGGTCCTTTTCCAAATTAAACCAACTCCACCGACAGCCCTGAATCGGAATTCAAAGCTATGCTATACAGGTCCTTTAAGTCTGTACTTCATCATGTAGTGTTCCTTTAAGTACTTTTGTCTTGTCTGTACAAAACCCTCTCTGTTCTTTCAGCCATCTGAAACTGGCTTGTAAAAATCTAATTGCTAATATGTAGTTAGGAGTTTTGCAAGTAATGATTAAGTTACGAAAAATCTGCCTCAATTTAAAAAGCCATCCTCATGTTGAAGAAAAGGCCCTCTAGTGTTAATTCCATCAAGTTTATGTTAGATGGCAAGTAATGTTGAAAAATAGTTTGACACAAGAAAGCCTGCGTTATCCGTCTTTTCCTTCATACATGTTGAACTAGATTATTAATGTATGTTCACAGTGGAAGATTGACTTTCTCTCCCAGTCTTTAAGGCTTCCACCACATTGATTAAGAAGTCAAGCCTACAGAAGGAACTCATGAACTAGTATGCAGAATTGAAGGAGAATTCTAGTGAGTTCATCTGTTTCAAATGAAACTGTAAAAATGCTCTTATTACAGAGAAGAGAGAATCTATTCCACATAGGTCCCGTTTTGGTCTTTTGACACTTACAAATATTCATGTTGTGAAGCAGATGTTTTTTCTGGCACATCCTGGGGTTTCCCTGAGAATTCGGATTCTACTTGTTCCTTGTGTGCTTGTCTCAGGAGCTCAGCCATTGACAGTTCTGCCTCACTCCTGGGAGTGCTGTCCTGGAAAGGAGAGTAACTAACAGATACATCTTCCTCGGAGACAATAGGAGGGTGTTCAGTTGGGTCACTGTCTTTAGATATTCTGTGCTGTTGTTCTTGCTTATGTCTTGAACTGAACAGATCTTCTTGCAGTGCAGAAAACCCTGTGAAAACAGAAATGAGAAATGTCATTACAAGTCTCATCAGAATACAGAAAGTCACTTCAGTTCTCTATGTGTGTTTAAAATCCCCGGAAGGAATAAATTACCTGAATTTTTTAGACAGCTTGAGTGGGAGAGCATATAACTTCTTCTCTAAGCAGAAGAAGGAACATTGGATTATCACTACAACTGCCAAATAATTAATCTTGACAGTAATAGGCAAAATAAAATCTGCCCAGAAATCTACCTACACCAATTAATCTCAAACCTCCCCAAAGTATGAAAGATTTGCAATAGTGTTTTTTGTTTGTTTTCCAGCAGACTGGAACACATTTTACACATCCATAGCTTGTGTAGTTATAAATACTATACAAGTATGGGAAAATAAATTCATACAAATCTAGCTGCAAGGGCTAGCTAATTTGTATACATCAAAATAATTCTTAAAAACAAACAACTCTCCCCTCCCTCTCCCCCAGACACAATCTCAAAGCGTGGGTCTAATTCTGCAGAATGCAGAACTGATACATGAATACATGCATTTGTATTCCACAAGCTACAAGTCATAAGCTTTTGTTTTTCTTCACTAACCCCATTCAGTCGAAACCTGCTGAACTCCAAAGAACAGCTTGGTGGAAAACGTAGCTATTTGTTCTGAATTTGAGCAAGATATGGGGGTTAACAAACTGATCCGTTGTTGTATTTGAATGCTAATTGCAGCAAACATAAACTATTCCTACATCATCTACATAAATATGGAAGGTTTGTGACTGTCTTAATACTTTACCAAGCTACTCGTTCAATACTAAGTTAAGAGTGTGAAAGTGTCACTTCCAAAAAACAATGAGAATTTTACTTCATGTAATTTGGAGATGTTTCTTTAGTGTACAACTATTGATCTAATCTGAAATTCTATGCAGCATCATAACAGAATTACAAGTAATATCCTGGATACCTGAATCCAAAGGGTTTTCCAAAGCATTGACTAGTTTTCCTTTTACAAATCTTGATCAAATTCTAATGTAACCTTATTTTTTATGAAAGCAGATATATGAGCAAAAAATAAACTGGACATAAGTAGTAACAGCAGGTTCTGGCAACATTCCTTTATTTGCTTTATAAGAATCTGCTAATGCAGAGATTTTTATACTTACTGACCTAGAGAGATGTGCGCTATCATGCTTGCCTTCATCCATCTTATCTGCACTTTCAAAATTAGGTTCTAGTGCTCAGTCATAAGAATTAACAGCCAAACATTTCAGAACAGGAGCTAGATGATGGATGAGATAACATAAGCAGCCTGTGACTGTATCAGGAGATGTTTACCTTCACTGTGGTCCAATCCTATCGTTTGTTCAATTTCTGCATACGTGCGAGTGCCGTGGACTTGCATGGAGTCTATGCCGCTGGTCTCCATTAGGTGAACAATATCCATTCGGTTGATTTTTGTAAGACACTGGGTAAGATTTGTATCTGTGGCATTAAAATGACACCATGTAGCTGAATTAAGAACTTCTCATGTTCTATTTTCAATATGAATTATGTATGTAGGATACTGATTTAGAAGCATGGCTATGTAAGATAGGGGCTGCACACAAAAATTACCTCTGATCTAGTCTTTCCTTTCACAAATTAGTCTAGTTCCCCCAAGAACTTTTTTAGTTTAGGAAAAGAAACTTAAGTATTTTTCCACTCCTGCTTTGCTGTAAGTTGTTCTCCAAATGAACAATATTAAACTATTCTCTCTAACAGAATCCTACGATACACGATGTTATACAGACAAGCTTAAAAATAGAACCCAACCTATAGCCATTCTTCCCGCTGCCTAAATTTTAAACGTATTTTATTTTTTGGATTATAACACACATTGGTCCACTTGTATATTGGAGACAGTGTAGATGTACTATAACTGGTAATGAACCTGTTGCATGTTTCCCATCCCTTTCAAGCCAGTATTTGAGGAGTGCGTGGCTCTGGTCTTGAAGTGAATTAGGATTTTCAATCCTGATTTGATGAATTTGCTCTTCTGTGAAATCCAGTTCTCTTGCTAGCTCTGAAAAATAAATCATTTTCTGTAAAGATGTCTTTTATTTTTTTCCCCCCACCTTACATCTATTTTACGGTAGTCTACAGCAAAATGGTTTACAAACTTTTCTGACACCATTTCTCTTTGTTTCCATTCACCTTCTTATGTTTAGACACTGTTAAACAAGAGGTTCAAGACAAATTCATAATTGCATTATGCCTAGAAGTGATGGCTCTATGTCAGCTTTTCTTTAATGTGTGCACCATTTCTCAGAGATACAACCCCACTGACAAAACCATGACAGAGTACCATGCTCTGTCAAAAGCACCATGCTCACCAAATCCAGTGAAAGAATTGATTTTGAGTAATGGCATTTTGTACGGCTGGATTAAAGAGTAATCATATTACTCCCCTGGACTAGTTTCATCAAAAGAAAAGTAAATGCCTATGAATCACAGTTGAGAACCAAAAACTAAAATGTGAGGCTAATAACTAGTGTCTTTCTGACATAGCATAGGCTCAGACTGCAGTCCAGAAAAGAGAAATGGCTTTAACAGCCTGTATTATATCCAGAATGAAGGTCAGCTTTCTCCCACTAAACTAAGACATGACTGTACGTAGAAACAGGCAATCAAATGATTTAAAGCCACGGGGAAATTTGAGAGATTCCTACTATTACTCCTGGTCTCCAGACTTCTGCTCCTCTCACAAAGAAGGACTCATATTCTATTCCGCTGTAATTATAACGATGGTGGATGATGGAGGGTGCCACATTTTAAGGGAGGGAGCAGGGGGGAACCCTAGTCCCCAAGACCCAGATAAACTTATTTCCAAACTGGCTTGTATACTGGTGCAACTGTAAACTTGAACAAATGCACAGTAACATTATATCGGATTGAAGTTCTAGGTAGTCAAGGAAGTTTGAACAAAAACCAAGCACTGTTTTATCCCTCAAAGTATCTTTTGACGCAGCCATTTTTACCATAATCAATCTTTATCATAACACATGACAGGAATACTTTTGCAGGTGTATTTCTCTGTCCTCTCCAAAATTCTGTAGAATACTCATCAAAACAGACAATTCTGTATCCATTGTTTTTTAGTTTTGTTTTCAGATCTGTCTAGTCATTTCTATTAATACTAAAAAAAAAAATGAAAGAAAAAATCAGCACATTCCTAATCTGTTACATTGCATAAATCTAAGTCCTACTGACTTGAAAGATAATCCATCTTGGGAAAAGTGACATATACTTCCAGTGTTCTCTATAGATTGAAATAGAGAAATACTGAAATAGAGGACAGGAAAGGAGGAGATCAGTAAAATATACAAAAATGTCAGTGATATTTTGTTATTCTCTGAAGATGCTTATAAAAACAGTATAGAGCGCAACCTCAATTACCAAGTAGTTAACACTTTTTTTTTTTTTAATGCAATTCTTCTTTAACCACTAGAACCCCACTTACTTTCATCAGTGTGGTACTGCTCTAGGGTTAGATACAAAAAAGCATAGACCCGATTTAAATTTCTGTTGGATTGCACAGCTTAACATAGCAGAGAGATTTCTCCATAGCTCTTTCCTTGTAAATGCTTTTGGGATGATTGTCAGTGACACAGATCTGCATTTCATTCTCTGCTACTTTCACTTATCCCCCAGAACGTTAATTGTGCTGTCTTGGAGTGATTTTTACGAATATGACCTTTTTCATTTCTTTTTCCTACACACACAGAAAAGTAAAATAGCTTCCATAAAAAAAAAGAAGCTGATGTGACCTTTCCCCATAGCGATCTTCCAGCTCAGGATTTCCAGAACACAAACGATGTTCATTCATCTTGTCAGTTTATGTTCTAGAGTCATCACACTTTGCGAGAAAGTGTAAAGTAACGTATGCCGACGCTGTCACTTTCTCATCCTAGGAGCTTTCCCTCTGGAGATACCACAACAACTACAGAGGAGTTACCTCTTCATCTTAGTTCTTACCTAACAGGCTAGAGGAATCTTAGTAATCAGCAAACAATCTAGTTCCTATAAGCTACTGAAGTGTTTCTATGAAACAGTTTTAGAGAATGAGGAAATCATCTGAAAGAAACACAAAAACATTGAGGAGTGCTCGCCTTGTTTCTCACTAGATAGATAACGTGCATTTTACCTGTCCAGCTGAATCCAAGGTGATCAGCAATGTGGGCCAGTCTTTCCTCTGTCCTTTCCTGATCATGCTGTTGATCTAAAGGTCAAAGAGAACAGCCACAAGTTGTCTTTTACAAATCAAAAAGCATTTCCATAGGTGATAAAGACCTAGAAGGGATAGCATTTTTTTCTGACTACTCTAATCTAAACATGGACAGGCTGCTACAACTGGGTAGTTACAGTAAGGATTGCAAATCTCCAGGTCTAACAAAGAAAAAGATAGCTTGATTTTTCAAAAGGACAGAACTATCTACATTTCCCATTTGAAAATCAGACTTTAATGTAAAAATCTAAATAAGGAGTGAAGTGCCTACTGTACTATTTTATCCAAGCGTTTTATTCTAAAACTTCGTTCTAGCATTAAGGTGAAGACTAACTAAGTTAAGAGCTATACATTTCCATGCCTCCTTAGTAAATGCCAAGGTTGCAAAATTCATCTGGACTGGTGCTTCTAATTGCTTTCTTTCTGTGGTAGCAAAACTTTTGTTTAAACAGTCCGTGTGGCATTTCATGTTATGGTTTTCATTTGGAAATTAATAATTTAAATGGCTTTGACTCTTTCAGCTAGGGAGTGATACAAAAGACTTACACTTGAAGGCAAGGAAAAATCAGACATTCATTCACCAGTCTGTCTATTTCAGAAACAGTGAGACTTCACTGTTCCTCCCATCCCCAAGGCTAATTTGAGGATGTCAGAATTTGAGTTTTGATTTTCCCTGAATGAACACATGGATTGCAAACATTCAGAAAACTGATTGAAGTTAGGTGAAATATGGCTTCATTTTAGCTACTGGACTTCCATCGCAGCTACCCAATGGCAGTATGCAAGTAAGTGAGGGGAAGACCAAACACCAGACAACTTCTACTTAAGTTTCTGGTGACACAGAATTTTCATGAGAGAGAAATGGCCAAAAAAAGGAATAAGACTAAACTTGATTCTTTAAAGCTTCTGTATGTTTCTTTGGGTAAAAACAAAAGACAAGATGGATTTGCCTGTTCCAGTTTCAACTGATGCCAAAAAAAAAAAAATCATTACTAATAAAAATAGGGTCAGGGAAAGCCAAAAGTCAAAATGCATATGACCCGAAAGGTCAGTTTAATGGTAAATACATATTTTTAGAAGTGTTTGTGTTTAAGGTAACACTTCTCATAAGCACACATGGCTTGCAATCTTGAGATTATTTCACAGACAAGAAAAATACAGACACAACACAAAAAACAAACACAGCTTATAAAGAAAAAAAACACACAACTAACCACCAAAAGCTTACAAGAAAATACCACACATGTATACAAACTTACATATACACACACACACCAAAGAAAACAAGAAACAAAAAGTTTAATTTATGACATGCGTCGCACAGGGAATCCCAGTCGTTGGCAAATACCTTCAGCATGGTCATGGATATTGTCATCAGGGATACGTTCAATCTGAGTCTCTACAGACTCATCCCAAATGGGTCTGGTGTCAAAGATGTCTTCAGGAACTGACTGCTGAGTCTCAATGGATGGCACATTTTCAATAACTGAAACTTCTAGGGCACTACTGCTTTCGTCATCTGAAACTAATTCTTGTTCTCTCTCTGACTGTGTGAGTCTTTCCACTAACTTAGAAGCTTCATCACTAATTTCTTCAAAGAATTCTATGGAGTTTTTGTAAAGGTCAAAAAAATGTTCCTTACTTTCTTTTGTAGGACTAAAAGCACTGCGGGAGGCTGTAGTGCTCCTGCTTTTAACTGGCAACCGTGATGAAAATACCTTGAGTCTTCCTGTTGTTGCCTCCTCTGAGTCTAGCTCAACCTTCATCTCCCTCTCCCTCTCCCTCGTCTCTGCTTCTGCCTCTGCATAACTCCTAGCTTTTATCGAGCGTTTAATCTTTGGGTCCATGGGAACACTTGCATCAGATTCAGATTTACTTCGGTTATCTTGTTTTGTAGGTAGTTTGCTTGTCGTGTCAAGAGCTTTGGGTGACTCTAGCTTGTGGACAGATGTGTCTGTGGATGTATATTGTTGTTCAGCTCTTTGGAGCGCTGCTTTGACAGGAATTTTAGACTTTGGTTTTGCTTGGTCATCTTTTCCTTCACACTGCAGACTGTCAAGAAAGCCATCAGTGGGAAGGCTCTCGTTTTCTAATTGTTGCAATGATTGTGATGCAGTAGCAGCTGTTCTTACAGGAATTTTGGATTTGCTTTCACAAGAAGGCACTCTCTCCATTAAAGCAGTAGGGATTTCAATCACAGATCTCTGTTCCTCTGGTGAAGAGTCTGGGGACTCCTCATCCTGTTCAGAACAGACCAATCTAGTGACCTTGGAAAAACCTAACTCATCTCTACCACAGACTGCTCAGGAGACATAGGGCAAGGCACCTGACTGCTATCAACCATGTCAGTCTCCGCTCCGGAGAAGGGCTCAGCTTCAGAGGCAGCAGTTTCTTTCTTTGGTGATTTTGAAGAAGCTGAAATACCCATTTTAATTGGAATTCTGGATTTAAGCTCTGCTTTTGCAGTGCCTATGCTGACACCTTCACCACTCATTTCTTCTGATTTATCACAAGACTCAGACGGCGAGGGTGAACGTTTCAGTGCATCTTTTCCTTGTATATCCGAGTCCTCTGATTCTGAAGGGGGAAATGGATCTGGTAAGCTCTCTGGCTTAGAAGATTCCACTTCCGCTGCTTCTTTCATTTCTTCACATAAAGAAAGTTCTTCCTGAGGCTGCTGCCCCATTTGGAAGAAGTGAAAACTTTCATCTGGATAGTTCCTTTTGGTCATGTCAATGGCTCCACTTCTAGTCATTTCAAACAACTTTCCTTCCTGAAAAAGAAAAGGATTTTGTTCACTAAGTGGTGTCCCTTCTTCCGTGGGTGTTCTGGCTGGTGTTGTATCAGGTGTTGTGCCTTGGGATCGCCTGTCTACCATCAAACCAAATATCTTTTGTTCCTCTTCTTTCACCCGAGCTTCAAAAGCTTCATCATCTTCACGTATTTCACTCCACATGTCAGAATCCACATCAGTTTTGGTGATGACAACTTGACTGATCAATTTTTCTGTTTCAGTTCTTATATTGTCACTGGTGGATTCAGCTAACTTCGTGGAATCTGATGCTGAAGACCCTGGTGAGATTTTCTGAAATAAATCCTCTGGTTTTGGTTCTATTTCCATATATACTTCCTCTGAAGACTGATATTTGCTACCCGTGTCTCTGCTAAGCAAAATGGTACTACTCTGATCTTTTCCTTCTTCAGTAGAATAGTCTTCCTTAGATAGCAGACTTTCACCAGATCCTACCTTAACTTCACAGTCAGTAAAAAATTGTTCAGAAGACACAGTTTTCATAAGGGCTTACTATATGAGGAGCACTACTTTCAGCAGCCTCCACTACACAACTTTCAAGTTCCCCTGTTTCAGTGGTGAGGGATGAATACTCTGGCAAGGGTTCCTCAATATGAGTATCTCCTTGAGGGGTTTCAAGATCTGTATCTACTTTTGCCAAATCACTCCCCAGACCAGAATGGTCAGTGGGATCACCTTCAACCAGTTTGCCATCTTGTGGCACAGAGTACTCCGTGATACTGTGTCCACAAGAATCGTCACCTGCTTTCTCAAACACTGCTCCTTTAGCAATGAGATCTGAGTGTGTTAACAGTGTGGTGCTTTTGATACTACTTTCGTTAGTATCAGATTGCTCTAGTGTTGGTGAAGACTCAACATGAACTTCTTTGTAAGAACTGTCACCAAAAGAATGGCAGGGAGAACCCTGCAATTGAGTGACTGGGGCATTAGGACTAACTATCTCACTGTCATCTGTGCTATCACATTTTGATTTGTCAGTTTCTGCTGGTGCACAACCATCAGAATGGCAAGTGCCAGATTCTTGTGTGGAAGCCTTACAGCTGTCCCCAAGGACATACGGTTCCTCTTTGTCATCTTCTGTTGGCTTATCCTGTTCTGCTTTAATGGCACCTATCCTGGAAGAACATTGTTTTGAATCGATAGGTTGGAAGCATCCTTCTTCAGGGCTAGAACTGGAGTCAATACTGGATGGTAATGGTGAAGGTGGTTGCACTCGGATCGTGGGCTCCATTAAGAAACCTGAGTCAGCTTCTTTTTTAAGCTCGGTCAATTCTGGCTCACTTTCTGAAGAGGAAGAACTCTTTCTAGATTTTGCTGAAGACATCACTACTGTAGGTATAACTTTTTCTTCAACAGTCGTTGACTCTGGTTCTTCAGCTTCACATGCAGCTTCTGAATCAGCAACTGCAGAAGATTCATCTTGCTTACAATCCTTTTTGTAATCTCGCTTCTGCTTTGCTTCTTGTTCTAATTCATCAAACATTTTGATTTTGGTTACCATTTTAAACATCTCCTCCTCAGGAGTAAATCTTTTCCTTGGTTCACTTTCACAGTCATCCTCTGGTTCTTCGCTGACTTCAGGTATCATGGCCGACTTTCGTATATTTGACAGTGCCTGTGAGTCTGCTGTTTTAGGTGTGATTTCATAGCTAATTTCTTCAGAACTGGGAGTTTCTGGTGAAAGAGGACTTTTCCCTGAACTCTCCATGAGAGATGTTTGCTCTAGACTGTCATCATCAGCACTCCCCTCTGGGTCACGGAGAATCCTGGAACGCACCGATGCCAGCTCTGGACAGGTTTCTCCTTTGCTAAGAACAGACTGAAGAGGACCCTGCCCCAAAATGCCAGCTTTCACTTTTTGTTCTACAGGGCTACTTTCAAGGGAATCACGGCAGGGAGACTCTTTTATAGGACTGGGCTCCAAAGAATCAGGCGTTTTGTGTGATGAGTTATCTTCTAGCACTGGGCTTGCTTCCAATGAGTCTTTATGACTTATAGCCAAAGAGTCATCTGCAACTGGGCTAAAGCTTTCACTATCATGGCTAGCAAGTGAGAGTTCCAATTTTTGGGGACTTCTAACCACAACACGGCGTTCACAGGTTATATCTTTTCCTTCTCTAAAGCAGTGTCATGTGTTTCAGAAGATTTAGTTAAGTGTGCAGTGGTCCTGGATTCTTTATCCCTGCTAATATCTTTCATTATGGAAGCTGAGCTACTTTCTTTAAGTTTATCTGCCTCTTCTTCAGAGGCTTTAGGTACAAGCTCTTCTGATACATGGTCAGAATGAGACTTACTAGTCTCAGTTACAGCATCTAGCTGTTTTTCAGTAATACCTTTTTCATCTTCCTTTGGAGAGAGTTCCTTCGGAGAACATGTTTCTGCAGTTGTATGTGCTCTAGCTGCTCCTTTAGCTTCTTCAATTTGCCCATCAGTTTTCTTTGGTGAGAAGGAAAGGCTTTCAGGGCTTGTTTCTGGAGTCTCTGCCAGCCCCTCATGCTTATAACTTTCCTCAGAGCTGATCTGAGGAGTTCCATCAAGTAGGCTGCCTGGAGAATCAGCCACACCTTCATGTTTAAGGCTCTCTGAGCTCCCATCAAAAGCAGCACTTTGCAGAGAAAGAGCAGGAAGGAATCCATCTTTTACATACTCTGTCGGGAAAGCAACATTGAAAGGACTGGTCAGGACTTGCTCCAAGTTAAGCTCGCCTTCCTCTGTCACTGAAAGATGTCGGAATTGTTGATATTTGTCATTATCCTCAAGTTCTTCTTTAATGACATCAGAGAAGTCTGTTGAGGTTTTTCTGTCAGGGCTGATCTGAAAGTCAGTATCTGCTTGGTCATCAGAAGTCCTGCCCTTTACACCTGCTGAATCTTTGGCACTTTGATCAACAAATACCGGAGAGAGAGGCTCGGCTGCTGGTTTTTTGCTGCTCTGCTGTTTTACCTGGTCTTTACTTACAGCTTTCTTGGTAATTTCAACAGTAGAAATTTGTGTTCTTCCTTTTTTTGATTGTGGCTCTTTCTCTGCTTTTATCGTAGTGCTGTGTTTGTCCTTTGGTTTGTCTGTCTTGTGGCTTGTTACTCGCTTTGTTTCACTTTGTGAAGAAACTGCTTTTTTCCGAGGGGTTTCCTTCTCAGGGGGCTGTTGCTTTTGTTTGACAGATTTGTGCTCAAAGAGTCCAGTTATATTTTTGGATGGGTCTTGACCTGACTGGAAGGCTTTCATCAGCTCACGAACTGACATGGTCTCTTCAAGTCTCTCAGTCTTAGAAGAAGGTGAAACGGGAGGTTGTGCTTTGTGTGCAGCTGGCTTTTTGACTGGTACTGGTTTTTTAGAAGCCTTTTCTGCAGTGCCTTCTCTTGTTTGAATTCTGACAGGTAGTTTTGAACGTACTTTTTGCTCATCTTCTACTTTTTTCTGAAGAGCTTTTACCTTATCTTTTATTGAGCCAATAGGAGTTTCCTCTATTACAGGGGATACAGCTTTAGCCTCAGGAGCAGCTGCCGGTGTTAAGCCTTGTTCCTCCTCATGTACTGCCTCATCCAAACTGCACTTCGTTAGTCCTGGTTTTTCTTCTTTGCTTTGCACCTTGCCTTCCTTTTGTTTTTGCTTATCTCTCAGTTTAGTTCTAACTGGCTTTTTAATTTCTAAGGCTGGCTTGTGTTGCTCCTGAGGACTTAGTGTTTCCGTTGTTGGAGATTCTTGTCCTCCTTTTTCAGAATCCCTGCTTATTACTACAGCTTCAAATCTCTCTTCTACTAAGTCTTCTTGTAAGGCTTGTGGCTGTACCTCATGAAGAGAAAGGTATGTTTTTAAATCGTCACTAAGGTAATCTACCATTCCTATCATGTCCTTCTTCTCTGTCTCTTTTGTCTCTTTGTCTATCCCAACTTCTACACAGATAGGTTCAGTGACTTCTAAAGGAGCATTTCTTCTGGCCTCTTCAATCTCTTCATCACTGACAATGACCCATTCTTCTTCTACAAATTCTTGTCTGGAAAGGGACTTCTGCATAGCATGCTCTTCTCTGGTGTAGGACCCCCCTCTAAGAATTTCATTTACTTTTTCTAAGTCTTCTTTCACCCTTTCAACTATTTCAAAGGGCTCTCCTGGCTCTTCTTCAGTGGGTTTTCCAAGATCTTTCACTTTAATTGAGCCCGATTTATCAGAAGAGTCAGTTGTCAAGATGGCAGTCATTTTGATCAAATCTTGTTTCATCTCAGACACTTCAGACAACAAGTCTGGACTGGCTAGTACAGGGACTTCATTAACCAGATGGCTTTTCAGGATAGATGTTTCTGTAGATTCTGTCTCGTCATCTTTGATGCGAATGAAAAACATTGAAAGTAAAATGGAAATCAAAAATAGAGATTGGAAAATGTAATCAGGACTGAAAATGACAGTCTTTGGTTGCAGTGGTAGGAAGGTCTACAAAATGGACCGGGAATAGGTGGATCCACAAGATCTGAGGGTACAAGTGCAAAGCAAAGCTAACAGGAAAAAAAAAAAAAAAAAAAACTGAAAAGGAAAATGGCAGGAAATAACTTGCTTAACTTTACCAATATAGCACAACCACACATACATTACCAAAGCTGTAACAAACCAAATCAGGACACCATTAAAAATAAAACAAAACAAACCCACCAACAACAAAATTTAAAATTAAAAACAGAAGAAACACAGTGAAGTTACACAACGATAGGCATCTCAAGATTGTTCAGATGTTACAGATCAATGTTCAAATAAAAATAAACAAGAAAAGAGGGGGAAAGCATCAGAACTGATTGAAAGTCGATTTCCTCTAAGAGAAAGCCAGTGTTAGCAAACTGTCAGAATAACATTAGGTTAATGTGTTTTTTGTTGTTTTGTTTGTTTGTTTTTTTAATGACCGAAATACAAAGTTATAAGTAATTCTGCAATAATCTAAAATATGATCAAATATGTCGAGATCTGAATCAGCTGCAAACCGGCATTTCATCTAAGGGGATTTCACACCTAAACAATGGAACAAACATTCTTTTGTTTTAAGAGGCATGGTCCTTTCCTTGGAACATCCTCATTGACAACTAATGAATTGACTGAGGAAAGAGAAGACAGAAGAAAAGGAGAGATAATAAGAAAAAAATGTGAATCAACTTAGAAGTGATTTCAAAGTTTAAAAAAATGTAATGTATGGCAACCAAAAATCAGACAATCACACTAGACACATACATACAATTTATGTAAGGCAAGTTATTTCCATGCAAAGCAAAGGTGTTGCAAATGCTTCTGTGAATGTAACCTCAGTTAAAAAACAAGAGCTTTAAAATTAATCATATAAATTAAAGATACATGAAGTTATTGTGACACGTACTGTGGTGAAATATTTGTCCAATCTGTACAATCAGCAAACATATATATATGTGGTATATCGGTGTATATATATATATATATATGGTATACTGGATGCTATGCCATTACTGCCTACTGGGAATATTTAATTTCAGGAAGCACTACTAGCAAATGTATTTTGAACAGAGTTAAACGCTGGAGGAATTAAGTTAGCATTGCTTTCTGCTCGTAACTTAGAAATTGTAGGGAATTGTACATTTTTCTTTTAGAGGTAGTATATCACGTAAAACTTGGTATATTTCTGCACTCTGGTCTAAAAGTCAAAGTACTAATGCAAATAAGGGGAAGCTAGGCAATACAAAATTATCTGCATTTCTTTGTAAAAATATCCATGGGGTAACTGACATTCTATTCTGCTGACTGTACTTCAGTGTGTCTTTTCCACCTTGATGAAATTGGTCCTCCTGGCATAAATGATAATGAATTAGAGCAGAAATTGGATATTGGTAATGTTGTTTATCATGATGAATGCTACTTTCCAGCAGGTTACTGGCTGTTTTGTCACACTAATGTCTTTTGTTTTCTAGCTGAAGCACTTCTAATTTAGACAAAAGGAGATTACTGGGGAATGGCCATCCATTGGATCTTCAGGACTTTGGTGCTGTTGTCTTTCCAGTTATAACATGTACATAGTATATCAGGAATAGACAGCAAAATGCAATGTAGGATAGAGGCAAGAAATTGCACTTTAAGCTGTAAACAAAGTCATTCTTTTCCTAAATAGATTTAAGAGCTGTTTTCAAATGCAGTGATTTCTTATTAGAGACGTACTTAATATAAATATATATTGTTTGATTTACATCCTCATTAAAGGAGATCTTTGGCACTATGAACCACTCACCCTCAGACTCTAATAATGGACTGATTCTGTATATATGGAGAGGTTTATATGGTACACCAATCTTAGATTTACATTTTCAGTCATATTTCACCACAGTAAAGGGCGGGAGGGGAGGGTTAAACACTCTGATTACTTTGGACAGTATCACTTTTTTGCATGCTTATATTTCATGAGTTTAATGAAATATATTAGGATATTAATCATGTTTTTGTTAAAAATGATACTGTCATTTATCTCAAATGGCAACAATGTGTATCAACAAATGGACAAAAATGGAGGGATGAGCATTCATACAAGCAAAATAGCAATAGCGGGATCACTAGGGATGTCAAAGGAAAGTAAATGCTTAGAAAAACTGTTTTAAATTGTATTACTTGTTAATTTATATATTAAAACGTATTTAATTGGATAACTTTTGATATTACATTGTTTTCTATTACATTTTTAAAGTATTGATGTTATTAGCAATAGCTGTTAAAGCTTAGCTCTCTTTCATGCTTATCTTTATTTTTAACAATCTTTCACACAAACTGCATTACAGTGTTAAAAAAAAAAGTCTTACTTTTTTCTGAAGTCATATCAACCTGGAAAAGAAAAAAGGGGAAAATTTAAAAGCTGCAATACAATAAGTATTTACTCATTCACTAGTAATACTGCTTGAGTCACATCCACTAAGTATATCAAGAAACACACACTGACTTAAACAGAACCAAGAATGTATTTATGATAACGGTATGTATAATTTAACATATTTAGTGTTTCTAATAACAGAAAAATGTTTACTTTCCTATAGTTATAGTCTAGTATGTGAATAATCTTGCAATGTATTTTATATCAATGGGACTAGCAGCTTAGTAGGCCCAAACTTTTGCTTTATATTGGGTGTGTTGTTGCATTGTTCCTAATTCGTTTATTTTCATTAAAGGGAGAAGTCCAATAAGGTAATCTGAAAGCATATGCCCCAGCTGGACGGCACCTATCATGCTCTAGACCCAATTTCCTTGTGTATATTCATTCTGAGATCACAGTTTGCATTTTTCTCTACTTTTGTGATGATGAAAAGCAGGTGCGAAAAGGACAGCAGACTTACTACTGCCTAGGATTTGATGCTATTATTACCAACTGATAGCTCTGAATGGAAGCAGTGATAGCCCTCAGAAGCCTGTCTTTTTGATTGATTTATTTTTTCAGAGCATATAGATTAAAAGGGCAATATAATTTGTTTTCTTTCAAAAGAAAACATAGTCTTTGCTGAGAAAAACATGAGAAAAAAAAATCAATGCCAGATTAAAAATTCAAGGAGCAAACTTTTCAAGTTGCCCTGTAGTTTGACTCTTTTATTCAGTTCTGCTAGCATGATCATTTGTCCACGTAAGGAAAAGACTTCTGATGGGTAAATATGGATGTGCAACAGTACGCAGACAAAGTTAGAAGTAGCACTACACACTTAATATTCTCTGCCAAACTTGTGGTAATAGGATGACTGAGAGGAATGAAAATCAGTTATGCAGTACTGTCGATAAATATAACATACAAGGTAAGTGAAAGCCTGCCAGATATTCTTTAGTGAGTATTGAAAAAGCCCACTTTTGTTTAAAAGTATTCTTTACCAAAATAAAAGCTATTTATTGTCTCAGGTAAGAATCTTGCTAATTCTTGCTTTCCAGACATGAAAAATGAATGTAAGTAAATCATTGGCAAGACTTACATGGTTATATACTCCTTGTAATCACTTAGGCTTTAATGTTACTAAACGTCACACTTAGCATATTAGCAATTATTAGCACTTAGCAATTTCCCTTATTTTACGTCCCTCCAAATCAATCTGGAATTATATCAGCACACTAAATATTATTATTAACATAATGAATTTTTAATTTGCTTTAAAAATGCAAAGATGTCTTTAGCCACCAATAACCTTGTCTTTTTGTGGTTTAGCATCTTACGTGAAAGTATCAGAATTCATAAATGTTTGGAAAAATAATTTTCCAGTATCTTCTACCTGGTTTTTGCAGAGTACAGATTTGTTAAAAACAACTTTTTGGGACTTCACTGGAAATGCGTAAGCAGCACTACAGAGGCTAAAATAATTAGTTTTGTGCTTTCATGATGAAATTGAATGACCACCTGATAATGTTGCTGTTTAATATATATAATGGGAATTAGCTTCTGACAATAGATAGATATCAGGTTAAACAAAAATGTTCCAGATCCACAGCTAATAACATTTGCACCCCTACGTTATTTTTAGGATGTGGGATAATTTTCAGAATCAGAAAATCAACACCACTTCCCGTTTGGTTGTGTGCTGAGGAGAATATAAATTAAATAAATCCACTTGCATGACCTACTCTAGACAGAGTAATTTTTAAAATGTTTATAAACTACTTTGAAAAGAAAATGTACTATTATACATCTCTAAAATCAGTGGAGCTGAATCAATAAAACTTTATCTACGGGAAAGTTAAACTCAGTAAATTCCAGAAGTGTTCCTATGGAAGATCCTTTTAAATCACTACAGATTTAATCTTTTAAGTTGTATCTATTAGTTGTATTTTAGCAGTATGCATAAACAATAACATGCTATTATTAGCAACATTACCTCTTCTTCTTGTTCTTGATCTGATTCTGATTCCTTTCAGTTCCAAATTGCCATGCAAGAAGGGGAAAACAGAGCAGGCAAAATACACAGTTTTTAGAAGAAAAGAGTGTAAAAAAATAGTTTCATACAACACTTAACAGAAGACTATGCAGTATGTTTCTGCAATTGATTTCTTGTGTGAAAGGGGGCAGAACTCTGTACTGCCAGTGCAAAACACAAAATGCTACACCATCAAGCAAATTACAGACAGAAACATTGCTTCTGGATGTTAGACTTCATGATCCTTATTTGTCCTAAAACTTGTCATTTATGCATGCTTTTGCACCTATAAATTGGCATGAATAAATATTTAAAATAGTTTTAAAAGTTGCTCGTTTAAATTGAAAATAGCTTGAGACATCTTATTTATAAATTATACAAAAAATGCTACAATAAAACTATATTACATGCTGAAAACACTGAAGAAAAAATCAAAAACACAGATAACATTTTGTTCAAACAGCCTAATGCATTACTAAAATGCATAGAGTTCCTAAACTGACAAGGACAGTAAAAAGTCCAACTTACCACACACGGGAAAAAATGACTCTTTAAAATACCTGACTATAAACCTTTGACTATATTTTTTCCTCTTACTCATTTCTTGGTTGTTACAATGCTGATTAGGATAGATTAGTATCATTTCACAGTACCTTTGTGTAAACAGGTAAAGTGATGTTTAAATTACATATGGCTTGATGAACAAGACCTCTTGTAGATTTGGGCTCCTTCATGAACGATAACCGTCCACAGGGTTCTTGAGTGGTATCTCGCACCTGGTGGAGGAAGCATATAGACATAGCATCTGTTATTTTGCTATATTCCCATTTAAAATACTTGCACCACTCAAAGTAATTCAGTAGAAAGGAGGCTAGATGTGGGAGAAAAAATAATGTAGGCAAAAATAACTGTGTTTTTTATGTTATTTTCCCACTTGTTTGTAAATGTATATATGGATGTATTTGTGTGTTAAAGCAAGAGAAAACACAACTACATACAGGCCTAGGCATTAGAAACTTATTTACAGAAGTCAGTGGTAATGCTGTAATAATCTTAAAAGAACAGACACATTCTGGTATGGTAAGGTTTCTGTGATAACTTACAATACCTGTCTTTCACTGAAACAATCCCCAGACTTTGTAGTAATAACAAAGACTCATTTTCTAATAGGTTATAAAATAAACCATATGGCATGCATATTTATGCTGATATTAGCAATAACGTTTTGCTCAAAATTGTAGTATTAAATATTGTTTGTTCATTCAGCTACTCTTTTGGCTGAGAGGCTGAAAATAGTGAAAGCTTACGCTTAATTTCTGCTTTTGCAAAATGTTCTCTCAAATGTATCCATAAATCCTGTTCTTACACTGAAGACATTTGCTGGAATGTGTTTCTAGGTGTGAGTGTGACAACCTGCAAATGATACTACAGCATGTTATGCTCTAACATTTTGCAATGATTCAGAAAAAAACTGTTTCACAGCTGGCAGCATAAACAAGCGTAAGCACTTAGAACTTAAGATAATGGTGATGCAGTTTGTAATAACTTTTGTTTGTAATGTCAGGAGGATTAAACATAATGTCAAATACAAAGCATTACCTCATTCTTCATCTTCTGAACAGATAAAGATGATACAACTGGATACATGGGCATTAATGTTATCAGACTGAAAATAGTAGATGCAAAGCCCCATGTTTTTGAACACATTTTGGAAAACCCATCATGGAGAAAAATATGCAAAGCCAAAGATAGGCGCTGGCATAAATAGAGTTCTAAATTAAAAAAGCTTTAAAAATATCTCTGAGGAGGAGAAAGAGAGTTTAAAAGTTGTCTAGAAACACAGAGTAAATTTAATGAAATGAGTGGGTTGATTTTCTTCACTTGGAAGTTTTTGTTCATAAAGTACTTCTCTAAAACTGTTTTATATAATGGCTCTGCTGTAGGCAGGATGAGCCAGCAGAAGGAAAACACAGTTTGTTGGAAAAGCTTTGCAGAGCGCCTCTGAGTCTCTCCATCCAGAAAAGAAGGTGGTGGTGGCTCAGAGGCGGCAGCCCCCTCTGCTGCTAGCACAGACCACACTTCACATCTGCTCCCTACACATCTCATGAAAGAAGCAACTGAGCTCTGTGGCCCATGGTGTTTACATTGCTGGTTCCAAAGCTAGGGACAACACATTAGTTCATTTTTGCTGAATATGCTTTTTGTTTTGGCTTTTTTTTAACAGACTTTTCTACTCGCATAAAAGATTTTACAATAGAATACTAGCATAATACATGCTATGGGGATAAAACTAGGTTACAGTTAGACTTTATAAAAATTAATTACTTCATTTTTCCTTTGTTTTCAAAAAATACAGTAAAACTATCTTTTAAGTTAACCTTAGTCACAGACTCAGGGTTGGAAAAGACCTTCAAGATCATCTGGTCCAACCATTCCCCCTACCACCACTGTCACCCACTAAACCATGTCCCTAAGCACCAGGTCCAACCTTTCCTCGTTACCTCTTGACTAAGGATAAATTAACTTCATCCAGAAACTGAGAATTTTCCAGAACACTACAAACAAATGAACTATAATGCTGAAAGTCATCGTAACCTTAGCTACAACTCAAAATATCTAAAAAGGACCCATACTTTTCTTACTGAGCTCCCAAGCAAGTTCTGCATAGCTACTGAAGTGTATGATTAGTTGAAGAACACTTATATCTGTGTTTACAGCCCTATCCATATTGACAAATGTAGGGTGTATTGTGTAGAGACAGATAATTGTATTTAGAGCAAATTTTTAATAAAGTTCAGATAGCTATTTCCATAGATTTGGTAGGTTTTAACTACCCAAGTCAATGTTTAATCCATGACGATAAAAGAAAAAATACTGGACCATTCAGTCTGCTAATTTTATCACAAACTCATAATTAGACAAAAATAAAATTATTATCCATAGCTCACATATTGATATTACCTTAACGAACAGGGGAAGTCTGTTTTCTTTGAAGGCAAAAAAACTGAATATATGATGTTGCCCACTCTTTGTTAGTGGCACCAAATTGCCAAAACAGTCAACATAGATGGGTTTTCCTTCTAATACCTGTTGGAAATTAAAAAGAAATAAAGCAACAATTATCACACTCATGGGATTAGGATTCTTCAGCATAAATCTACAGTAGTTTAGATCAATTTCTTACATTTCTAGGACTTGACTTGTCAACATTTGCAAGGTTTGTTATAAACAGTCACCTAAAATCTGTGGAAACATTTCAGACTATTAAATTCCAACTGGAATATATTGTTAATTCGGTAACAATACCGTGTCACTATAAATGACAGAATGAGCATTTGGTGTTGTGAATCTGTGCAAATTATCATTTTAAATATATTTTTATTTTTAATTGGATTAAATTTTAGCATACTTTACTAACCTGGGCTCATCACAACAGCCAAAAAAAAACCATTTTCATCAGCATTCAAAGCAGAAAGCCTAGATTTGAATGGTAGGATAATAAGTCTGTTTGTAAATATCATTAAGTTGCACATCAACTTACAACAGCCTGTTGCAGCCGGTAAAGACAGTATATGTTAGCAGATTCTTTTCACTTTGACTGGATTTGGGAAGGTCTAGAGCTTTTGAAAGTCGGGCTTGAAGCAAACAAAATGCCCATAAATGATACTGCTTACATCTTTGGATTGCTATTTGTGTGGCCCCTCCACATGTTTAAATCTCCTCTTACCAATTTTTGAGCCGTTCCCTTCAAATCACCAGTACATTAATATCTCGTCATTAGTTACCAGAAATTCAGCCTTGCCAGTCAGTTTTATGAGCCCATATTTTACCTAGGTGCTCTGCACAACAAATGCCTGTCAGAGCTTCAGGAACAGTGAGAACAAATATTTTTAAAGGTGGGGTTCAGTCGTGGAAAAAAAAACACCATACGAAGACCATACTACTAAGAAGAAGAATATGCCATTAACGTACTTAATGCATTTCCAATTTGTCACTTCTTCTGAGGAAGCTGACAGATAGAGAGGGAAAAAGGCAGGCAGTTCGTTGGATCCCATACAGAAAAACCTTTGCCTGTTCTGCAACAGACATGACTTTTTCTGTAAAGCAGCATAACCTCTTTGTAGCAAATATGCTGATAAAATGTGACTACTGTTGACTGCCTTTTTGGTTAATAATATGCTTTTATGGAGTTATCAGAAGCTGACAATTCCTATCCTTTTGTGTCTTTGATTTTCTCCCCTTATAATACCCAGGTAGTATCAGGCTCAGGAAATGTAACTGTTCAGGAAAGCACACCACTCCAAAACTCACCTTTATGTAGATATTCCTCTAAGAGGAAGTTACTGGAATAACTAAGAAATTCAAGTTATCTCCCAACAGTTTGTTACAGAGCTAATTAAAACTTATGTAATGAATGCTGACCATCAGGACAAAAATACCTCAATGTACTTGGACTAAACTCAGGACTAGCCCACATCCAAAGACCTTAGTTTTGAGCTACCTGAGGCAAAAAGTCCATTTAAAACACCTATCAGCTATACCTATCAGCTCACTTTTAAAGTGATTTACTTCAGTCTTGGGTCCTGTGCACCTAAAACCCTAACCAAGCTCTACAGCTACGCACAATTCTTACAAGCTATAGTGTTTTGGTTTTTGTTTGTTTGTTTAAAATAAAAGCCATACAAAATGCCTCTCCTCCTTCTTGTAGAACTCAAAATGTTGGTGTTGCTTCTCCACGTAAAAGTAGATTTCATAATAGTTAGTTGGAAGATGCTGCTCTAATTTTCAATCTTTGAATTAAAGAAATACTGGCCCTGACACCAGAGAAAAGCAGGACAAAGAATAAGAAACTGCTGGACTAAATGGTAATGCCCGACTTCATTTTACTATGCAATTTCCTAGCATAAAATCAGTCCAGCTTCTAAGTGTAACTGTTTAACAGGTCCACCATAAAAAGGCAACTTGGGAAACCAAATTTTTTCAGTGCAGTTTTGTCCTATGGATCTTCTAAGTAAGTCTTAAGTCTATAACAGAGAGCTCAGACTGAACCAGCTCACTCCTGTATTTACTCTCCCCTTGCATCCAGTTTAATGTTCCAGTTACCTCTTTTTTTTATTTGCTGAGGACTTCCCTGAGAATACACTGGACTGTCCCCTTAAAATGCCAGTGATGCTATGGAGATGCTATGGAGAAAGCAAAAGATGCAGTTTTGCCAAAGGGACTCCCTTTCTAACATCAGCTAACCAGATGACCAAAAGACCCAAATGTAGACAACCTGAATATAGATAACCTTCCAGCTAGCCCTGTGGACTATCAGGTCAGTAATGGCCCACTGCAAATAGGATTTGGTCACTCATATCTGGCAGTTCCTGTTAACTTGCATCTGCCTAAAGGCAAAGCTTGCATCTTTCCATGATGCGTGATACTGCATTTGTTGGCCCTTTTACTTTTCACTCCTTGTAGCAGGCAGTAGGCAGAAAACAGTAGCTTAAAAGCAGACATTAGAAAATGGAGAAAAGTGTTTAAGATTCTTGTACAGTACCTCTACATCTCTGCTTCTGGCCACTTCAGCAAAATTTTCTTGTTGTTCTAGAGTTTTATCCACCTTGTCGTCTGTCATGCAAAAACATCTTAACCGTGCTTCAATGGGATCATGTGATTTGGCAAACACCACAAATTTGGCCATGTAGGGGACACAGATAATCTCTCTGTACACTTGGGAAGCAAAAGTAACGGATTCTTGTGTCTGTCGACAGTCTATCAACCAAAATCTGTAAGTTAAAATGAAAAGTTGGATAATCAATGCAAAGATTTGAACAACATAATTACATAGTTTCCACCGTTGTGGCATTAGCTGGCAACCAGACCAATTGAAGAAAAGAAAAATAGCTACCATTTGGGAAGAATAGCTTAGGAGTGCTGGCAGAAGCCCTCCTCTGCTTTAGGAGCATGAAGCAAATTCAACAGCAAAAGCTTTTGTACCAGAACTTATGCTCCAAAATACCAGATGCAGACTTTTCATAGGATCTCCTGCTGCACAAATGCCAGGCCGTTGTTTGTGTTTCTGGTATGATCTCACTCACTTGGAAGCTTATTTGCTTCCAGTTACATGACTGGCTTTTAAACACTCTGAAGATTTAAATGCACGAACCTGCTTGTATTCTTATGTTTATAAAATATCCTACATTTAAAAATATGTTTATAATAGTTAAAGCAATTATAGATGGCTTACTGAGATCTGGGGATTTATCACAGTATCCAATAAATATTTCTGTTCCTTTATTCAAAAGTAGGCTATGGCCTCAACTTTGTTTACATTGGGATTTATTCTTTATAGTAAGAATATGTGATCAACCTTTTGGCTTTTTTTCTTTTACCAAGAACTGAATATTTCCTAGACTAAGCTTGGTGGTCTCTGCTTTCCATCACTTTCAACAGTTTCTGGTGATATGTTTGAAATGGTGATTGATCAGATCATCAGGTCTAGAGACATCCAAAATATCTCTGAAGTTGTCTTTACTTACTTATCTGGTCATTCCTTGACTTCTAAGCAGAAAGTAAGTAGGGAAGGGTGTACTCCAAGCACACAGTTCAGATATCCCCTTAAATGTAAGTTTGCAATAGGTGTCTTTCATGCAGAGAAATAAATACACTATCTTTTTGGCAGCTGGTTGCTGCTAACCATCTGATGATACACAAGAGACTCATGTCTCATAAAAAATCTTAGTAAAATTGCTTACATCTAACTAGTCAAATGCCAATCCTGTCATGTCTCTTCCAGGCTATAACTGCATCATTAAACTACAGAGTAAGCAATCTCAGCCTTTTATTTTTAGCCCCCTTATATTTTCCTAGACATTGTATAATTTCCTGTTAAGCACTGGATCTGTCAGTATGCTGCACCTGGGTGTTACTGATTTGCGTACAATTTTTTTTGCCCAGTAGGGATGTGGTGAAAGTTTCCTGAATTTTTAATGATGAGGAGCAGGAGACTGAAGTGGTTTTGGCATGAGTAGCTAATGCTTCAGTCTGTTCTAGAACCTCCACCTCTCACAGCTGAAATGTTAACATGCTTTTGCCTAAATCATTTGCTTTTTTCCTACTAGGTAGCCTGAAATGTCCTACTGATTCAAAATCAGAAATGCTTCTTATGTGAATTCTGTCCGAGACTTAACTTTGATTTTGTGCAGTTTGGGGGGAGCATACTGAAGAACGGGGATATATACACTTATTTCTATACTTAAGCACTATTATATTTTGAAGACACACGAAGCAGGTATATCCAAATCTGATTGCTACTACACCCTTGCTTCATAGAGGCTGTGATCACCACTGACTCACTTTGTATCAGGGCTTCTGGCATTCAATTTAACTGATGATTTCTTTCTAGAATATACATTGTATCTTCCACGCTGATGGCTCCCAGTCTGTGACTCTGCACCACAAGTCAGATGTGAAGGGATTCAAAGCAACAGGCAAATGCTACTAGAATAAATAACTGCGTCTCCATAGGGTGAGTACTTCCTACTGCTACTACATGTGAATCGCAACAAACCACCTCAATACATACTTACAAATGTACAAAGTTATCAAAGACATACACCACGGATGTGCAATTCATGTCTGGAACTTCAGCCTCCAGAGCAGCTCCCCTCCTCCTCACTGTAAGCTACAGGAACTTTATCCTTTCTTTGGGCCATTCAGGCCAGGATGGCATTGCCCAGTAATAAAAAAAAATTACAGGATTTCCCTATACCCTTCTAAAGACAACTGAATTGTTCTTTTGTAAAGATAACAACTTTCACTTAAAATAAGCTTTACAATCTATAATTCTAATACTTCCATTTTCTAGTCCCAAAACATACGAGCAGAAATGTACCAAACATTTTGCAATGAGTAACATGTATTGCCTTCTTTCTCAGATATCATTTCATTTAGTTTCTCTCTGGAGCTGATGACATTTCATTTACATAAAATTCTTCATGTGGGTGGAAAGTATGGCTGAGTTTGACACCCGTAGGATGAAGAAGGAAGTCATGAGAGGTCGAAGACACCTCAGAAGCTGCAGAAGCTGATATAATCTACAGGGGGCTTATTACTTACTGTAGATTACATGGTATTATAACCCACAACACATACCTTTCAAGTGTGATTTTTCTGGTCTTACTCATCCTTTGGTTGAATAATAGTGCGTATCATTCTGTGCTTATCTTTGGAACATTTAACAAACAGGCTGGTTGAAAAACAGAGGCTGATGACGTTTGAAGAGAGAAAGCATGTTTGGTACATAAAGGTTGTGCATACTGATACTTTACTTCTAGTGTGTGGAAGAATTATACTCTGCTGGCCTCAAACCAGGAGAGGCTATATCCTCTGAGAAATCACCATATGCTCAAATCATTTTCTTCCATACACCAGGGACTAAAAAGCCAAAACAGATACTAAATTAAAAAAAAAAAAATGCAGCTCAGGAAATGGAAAACATCCATTCCTCAAAGTCTGCAGTTTAATTCACATGTATTTTAGACAAAAGTATCTGTTTCCCAAGCTCATTTAAGATAGAATTAGTCTTATGAATGGAAAAATAGTTGTGCATCTAACAATTTAATTAAACAGTAAGTTATTGTGAATAGCAAACAGTCAGGCATCAGCTGATTCTCAGCAGAGCACAAGGCTAAAATGACAGATGCACTTTTAGACCAGGGTACAAGTGAAGAAATTCAAGTTAAATTGTCCTTCAGCAAAGATGGTAATTCTCTGACTTTAAATACATGAAAAAATCCCATTTTCTAACCTTAACAGCATTTAAAATCATGTTTGGGTTAAGTACTCTGTTGAACACTTAGCTAGATAACAAAGAAGAGGCGAAACTCATTAAAATCTCTAAATGGGACCCAGCTTACTTAATTGCAATAGTAATCTAATCTAAATAGTAATAGTAATCCAATACTAAATAGTAATAGTAGAAAAGCCATCATGGGGATTAGGAAATATCCACCACTAATATTTATACTGGGCCGTAGTTCAATAAACTATCACCCTCATTCCAGATATAGTTCACGTGCAGTCCTGCTGGGGACTTCACAGTTTTAGAGGTTTTGACCTCTCAGACTTTGCATCCAGTCTCCACGCTTGGCTCTTAAATTAATCTGTAACTTCTCCCTTTAAACGAACACTGCAGGCAGCAGATGAAAGCTAAAACACATTTGAACGTCTCCCTCTAGTGGCTATTGTTAGTAAAGAAAAAGGAACTGAAAAACAGGAACTGCACATCAGCAAAGCATTCAACTTCATTGGAAGACAGCTCTCAACTGGCAAAGTATTGAAAAATAGTATTTTATTTCTCCTAATGGAGTGCTGGAGCTGAACTCATTTTAACACTGAATAAAGGTTTAATTAAACAACCTAATCTAATAGTAATAACTCTCAGTTATACAGTTATATATAGTAATAACTCTCCCCCTAATGTTTGCACTGAAGGAAATTCATTGAAATTCATGGCATAGTCACATTTCCAAAGTTATCCAAGATTTTTATAATTGTTTATGAGACTATGAGCCCTAAATTTAAAACTTTCCAGGTCTTGGCCTTAATCCTCTGTCACAGAGATTGAGATTTTTGTGCATTTCTGTGATATAAATCATCAACAGAACAGAAACTCATATATTTTTTAAACAAAAATCTGTTTGTCAGTTACCACAAAGACAGCAGTTCAATCTCATCACAAGAACAGATGGTTAGAAGAGATTCTACATAATCACAATTTGGTACACCTACAGATCTTTCGGCTTGGTTTCTCATTTGTTGGATATTCTGAAAGTAACATCTTTTATAAGATGCATAATGAGCTACCCAAATAAGGGATTTCCATGGAAATTTTTGTATTTCTGCATCTGAGCAGTAGGGGTAATCAAAACGAAACCAGGTTTTTCTAATTACCTGAAAATTGAACTGTCCCTCAGATTACTATTTCAGAAAAATGAATACATCATTAAGTAATTTCTGGGAACACGGCAGGCACTAACTGCAGAGGAGTAATGGCTGAGGATGGAAATGACAAAAGCATAAGATTCATTCAGTTGGTAAGGGCTTTACAGCTCTCACACATCCTCTGTCTGGGCTAGGAGGACTCAGAGCTTCCAAAATACTTGGCCAATGGATTCACAGCACAAACACAGCACCTATGTTCCTCTATGTTCCTTCCACCATTAACTGAAAGAGTTTAAAGGAAACACTTGTAAAACAAATTCATACAGGGGAAAAAAGGACAGGCACTTGAAAGTAACACTTGTAAAACTTGTGTTTTGTTTTATAGGTACCTGGCAGACACATTTGTCGTGAAGGAAACACATTCATTAACAAACGTGAGTGGTGTTGTTCCAGTGATGTCTTCCCATTGGGCAGGGGTGGTTCCTCCTGAAATAACAGTAATTTAAAAAGAATTACAAACAGGCAATTTCCCAATCTTCTTGCTTCTAAGTAATATTTTACATTTTTCTGAACTGTTGTTATACAACTAGCAATTATCTCAGACATGCCTTCTCCTTTGGTCCATGTTATTCCGCTAGTAAGATAGTTAGTTTCCCCTGATAAAAGAAATCATCCACATACAAATGATTTTCAAACAATGAGCAGCCATAGCACAGGTTTATAAATGGTAAAGAAGGCTAGAATTTTGGGAGGTGAGATGTTTTTTTTCTGTAGTTTTCATGTATGCATGGCAAAATTAGCCCAGGTACAGTGCACTGAAATCAGTACTGTTATTCGGGAGACAATAATATTGTTACTGATAGTAACAACTACAATTTGTGATTTCTATAATCTAATTCCTTTTCAAGTAGTTCAGAAAGACTCTAGTCCAGTATGTACATAACCAGGAAATTTCTTTTGCACATTCCAATTAAAGTCTATTGAGCAATCTGTGTCTGACAGCTCCTGGGAAGATCCGGCAGTTGAAATTTGCACATTGGTATCTTGCTCTACAATTGATAGACTTCTGGATTCCTATCAGCCTATTAAATGTTTCGGTCCTTCTTTAACTCTGATGTTGCCAGCTTCCTATTTGACCTATGCCACTGAAAGTCTGTCAAGCCTGCAGATGTTCTAGGGTGAATGATGGGGACTTAGACTATGTTTTCAAGTTTTTCAGTATCTTTCCCTGCCTCACCTTTTGGTGAGGAATGTCACGTTAATTCCAGTTAGCTTAAAATCAGAATGAGCTTACAGAAAACAGAAATTCCAACAGCAGTTACAGCTATTTATACAATGTAAGTATTAAATGAAAAACTATGGGTAACCAGCCAGTAAGAATGTCTGTCCCCCCTCTCATATACATGCTGACTCATTAGATAGTCCATATGACCATATAGCAGAGTCTTTACACAAACCTTAGAACAAGTTGTATACACGGAAGAGCACTAGTTTCCAGGAAATAACCTCCTTTCTCCTGTTGGTGAAACATTCTTGTAACCAAGTTCATGTTTAAAGTTTCTGGAAGAATCCTTACTGATTTACTGTTTATCCATGGCATTTATTCAAATTCCTCTTTAATATTAGAGACTATTCTTTATTTAAATAATCTTGTTTCACTTTCTTGGAAATGCAAATACTTCTTTGTTGACCAGATGTCAGTCAATTAATACCTTTGTATCAAATTGTAAAAGCACCTGTTCGCTGTAATGACTCACTAACACATCTTAGTGCATAATGTATCTTACATGGGGATGATATCTGAAATCAGTTTGAAAATTGACAAAGATACTTGATGGTAAATTTTAAGCAGAATGAAAACATGCAGCTAATTACTGCCTGTTGCCTGAAACCAAATACGGCCTTAATCACTTTGGAGTTACAGTAAGTTTAAATTGTTTAACCCCAATATTTTTTCTATGAAGCGTATTTTAACCTTATGTCTATATTGCACTTACTCTGCTAGGCAGAGGTTATGCTGGTACTCAAGAAATGGAAACTCTAAGTGAAATGCCAACACCCCACCACCAAAATCTACAATTATTGTAACATGTTTCTTGTTAGCCCAAGTTACAAATATTTCTGATAGAAATGGATTGATTGGAAAGCAGTTTCACTTTTCACCAAACTTTCCATATGTGTAATCAGTTCAATCTATTTATTTAGCCCACGGTGACTGACAATATCAAGATGCACATAAAAAGCTTTAGTATTTGTATCCTACCTGTTATGCTGCACAGTAACCTTAAAGTTGGAGTGTCACCTCCATAACCATTCATGATCCCATCACTGGAGGCTTTAGGGACAGGAATCGTCATCGTGATGGGTTTATGGAACTTCCTTCTTCTGGGTTCCAGCGTGACTATAGGACTGAAGGTAGCCTTGTTGCCCAAAATCTTCTTTATAAGTTCAGTATGCATAGGTTGAGCCTTTCCAAAGCAAAAGACAGCAACAGAATAGTTACTTGTAAACAGAGTATGTAAAGCACTGGGTCTATATATTGCTAGAAATACTAAAGCTCTTCCATTAAGTGGCACAATTTCTCAGGAAAATCTGCAGAGAAAAGACTGACTGCCAGTGAGCAGGGGACATCTCCTCCTCTTCCTATTGTCTTTCCTGGTGCTCATCAGCATTAATTTAATACACTTAATCAAAAGTTAATGATTCCTTTGTGTTTTGTTTTTTGTTTTTTTTTTTTGCATGTGTGGTTTTGTGTTGTTGTAGGTTTTTGTTTTTTTCTCCTTAGAACAAACTCTGGGCTGTTTTAGTAAGCTATCCAGCTATTTACAGAGGATTTCAACAATCACAGTAGCCTGACCAAGATAAGTGTTGGATGCTTTTGGCAGGTTGCAGCAGGAGGAGGAGGGAAGACAGGAGGACTTACACCTCTTTCAGTTGCGGACTGCTAGGCTGGTTTACTTCATGATGACAAACTGTGCATTTGACCTAGCTATCACTGCATTTTGAATTGCTTTGAAGCCTTTCATAAAAACTATTCAAGAAATTGTTCTACGATCTACACTAATATCATCATCATTAAAATGAGGCACTTCTTCCAAGAACATACAGTTAACGGGCAAGAATCTGAATAAACTGTATAACTTTGAAGGAAAAAGAAAATAGGAAAAAAAAAAAATGCCTTCTAACTGTTTCATTGTACCTGGAGGCCAACACGAATTCGTTTGGTTAGAGCCCCTTCTGGGAAGACTGCCTGCACTTGTGGTACCACCGTGCTGCTCAGCACACCTCCCTCGGGTCCAATAAGGTTGCTGTCCTGTTTGATCCGGGATACCACTGCAAAGTACTGAGGAAAATCTCGGGTGATGATGCGGCAGATGCGTTTCTTCTCAAGTTCCTCTGGTGTGTCAAGGACTGAGGCAAAAGAGCAGATGGTCATCAAACAAAATTTTCATAGAAGCAATTTTGTGAACTTCAAAATGCATTCCAGCTTCTCACAGCTTAACCACAACTTACAGATGCATTTTGTCTAGAAATTACTGGGTAACATGAAACATCTCAACACTTTAAGCTTGGCAAAGAAATTAAGAAAGACAGACACAGACAGACTCAGCAACTAAGTGAAGGAAGCTTAAGACATCAAACTGAAGTCAAAAACTTGCCCAAATCAGTGGGCAAACAAGCTAAGGGATTGGACCAAGCCCCTTTGTACTTCACATTATGATTTGGAGTGGCATCAAGGAAACAAAACCTCAAATCAAAAAAAGTATCAGAGTTCGTTTTGAAGTATGCAGCTTGGCTATTTTGTTCTTCTAAAAGACAACATAATTTATAACAAATTCTGCAGATCCTAGACAGCCCAAGTCCATTCTGTTCTCTCAGAAAACGAGTATCCATGACTGACATTTCCTCCCACACATGTAACTGCTTGGAAAGGATTAGTATGATAATTGCCTTGTTTTGGAAAGATGATGTTTATCATGGAAACTTTTTGTTTAATACTGTGAAAAGAAGCAGGGAAAAAAAAAAGGTTAGTATCTATTCTCAACTTCGTGACAGTAGATTTTGTTTTGTCCCACCACTCAGTAGACCATGCGAGGGAAGTAAGCACAAGTACACAGTGCTTCTGCTGGCCTGTGTGCCAAGAAAATTATATACTCCAGTATGACTGAAGTGAAGAAGTATCTGAAGAATGCAGTGTCAGAAGTTCTCAAGGTGGACTAAACACGATGTGCTAAACAGAAAAAAAATGGTAAAATGTTGTTGGCCCCAGTTATAGGAGTACTGCAGGAGCAAAGAAAGGAATATATCACGCTTGATACCTTCATCCATTCCATTCAAGATTTCATTCAGTTCATCCTCAGTGTATTCACAGAAATGTTCCTTCCAGCTGTCCCCATTCTCACTGCGCAGGATCACCAGCTCTCTCTCTTTCCCACGCAGAGCAGCAAAATGGGGAATCTCCACAATCACAGGCCTGGCACAGCAACACAGCGCATTAAATGCACACAGGAGAAAGGAAGAAACAGGATTAACAGCAACTCTACTCAGTCTGCTACAAAGTGACCTGGGATTCTACCTATTCTCTGGAATACTTAGGCATAATCCTAAACTACTAGATCACGAACACACATTCGATTTTTACAGGGACACAGTAAATGCTGAAAGACAGATTTAAAAAGTGCATTCACCTCTTTCCACAGTGTGAATGGTATTTGGTAAGATAATAGGGCTTAAGTAGAAATTTGAGAATTGTTTTTCAAATTCATTTCAAAACTCATGCTCGATTTAATTGTCACTACTGTCTGGGTTAACCTGCGCAACTTCATTTCAAAGAGAATCTACTGTAATGCACATCGATGGTAGAACAAATTCTGATCTCACTTATACTGGTGCAAATCAGAGTAATTTCATTGCAATCAGCGGGCAATTGTGTCCTGTGCCAATTTTACTTCATGGTAGTTCTACATATTCCAATGAATTTATTCTGATTTTACACTCTAGGAGAAATAAAGGAGGTCTGAGAAGAACATCTGGGTTTCTATTTATGTATAGGAGATAAGAATTTGCCTTGTCTAACAAGCGGATGTAAATAGATGTATCAATGTATGTGTGTATATATATACATATAAATATACACACATATGTGTACATACAATATATCTATATTTATATACACATAGAAATGCGTACTCTTGGGAACAGGACAGAAAATATATATATATTTGTACATACACTTCTCTAATTAGAATACTCACACAGGTTACCATATAAATAGTAAATGTGACATGTTCTGTTATACTGGTGGTATCCAACATATATCTAATTGATTATTTAGTCCTTGATACAAAAAAAAAAAGTCTTAAATTTTACAGTAGATTCCTTTTTTTTTCTCCCAATCCAGGTTGCTTTGCTACAGACATCAAGCACATAACCAGGAAGATCTCATGCCAAAACAAAAACGAAGGCCACAGTACTTTAAGAAAAAGATACAGACATACCACCAAAACAAAACCACATACCACAAGAGTTGAAAAATGGTCCACTACAGGTTAGGTATACAAAATTTCAAATCATAGAAAGGGACAATATCATGGGCATAATGACACAAAAAAATCATATTGCAGAAGGAGGAGAAGAATGGGGAGGTCAGCATCCATCAATTTGTTTCAAGTCTCTCCTACCCAAGGAATTTGGTCCCAGGAGGCCCCAGCTGAAGGATTCGGCTGACCAAGCTTTCTCCCTCATTAAGTGGGGGAGGAGCCGTAGGCAGATGAAGTTTACTGAGTACATCCAAAGCAGCAGTGAAAGAAAGAACATAAATAAACTTTATGTATTTTTTTGCCAGAATGCCAGTGCCACTGTCTGGTCCACAGAGTGGAATTAGGCTGTACACTGAATAAGGTTCCACCCTAGCGATGACAATTTGGTGATCAAAATCAACAAAGTGAGTTTCATTAATGTAGGATCTCTCCTTGCTCTAGGAAGACGATGGGAATTTTGGCAGTGAACTCAATGGGAACAGGACTTGTAACTCAGAATGCATCTCTGCAATCAGCACAGTCATTTTCTGATTTCACTGCCAGTACAACACCTAGGAAAATGCTCACAGGAAGGGTATACCTCCTCTGAGCTCTGAGGAAGAATATCACTGATATATCCTAGTCTTTCAGATGAGACGTGCTCATTAGATAGAAAAACCATTGATAAGAAAGTAGAAGAGATACTCAAGGCCATATTCTGTGTGGGAAGACTGAATGTGACAGCATAATATTTCTGTTTTGAAATTCTTCTTCACTTCTTTTGACTTCTTTCTACCTCTCTTAAAAACTGACCAAGGAGCAAAATGAGTAAGTGATACAAAGCATTTGATTAGCCAGCTGGCTTGCTGGTATTTGTGATATTAAGAGGTATCCTATCTGTCAAAAGGAATGGTTGGCTTGCTCTTCACATCAGTTTGGCAGTGCTTCAGCACTGCTCTTGTTTTCTTAACAGCCTAGAGCAGCAGTGAGGGAGCCAAACCATGCCTTGGGTACATTCTCCATTCAAGCCACATATAAAAGCAGTGTGCAGTTAAAAACCACTAACCAACTTTTTTAACTCCCTGAACTCAATACTTCAGAAAAAGCACTACCAATGACAGCGACTCCATGACTGCCTGCTATGATAGCATTTTCAAGCAACCGATTTGTTCTGAAATTAAACCTATTGCAGTTTACAGGGTCACTTTTTTCAATTTCTGAGTGAAGGTATTTACAGTCATAGAAGGGGTTCCTTCAGTCATCTACTTTTGGATGCCACAGTTGACAGGGAGAACAGTTGGTAAAAATAATTTAAAAAAAGGGGATAACTGCTGCTCTCAGCTGAAAACTGCTAAAACAAGGTCAGCAGCAGACACAAATCTGATCTTTCTAAGGGTTTTGCAGCATAGGACAAAACAAATGGCCCCAAATTCTCGGGTTGTCCTATTGCTTATATCATCAATTAGCTCAGCAATAACCCAGAAAAATCAAAAGCACTGTGCTTTCCTTAGTCCGAATTACTGATAACACAACACAAGTGTCTCAAATAAGCAGCTGTAACTTGTGTTGACTATGTAGCAGGCTTTACCTTTGGGCTTTAGATCAGTGCTGTGCTATTCACACCTTATATGCAGACTATTTAAATATAGTATGAATGGCCTTTTCTGGCTGCAAAGGGATTTTCCCACTATAATATCACAACACTGAGTAATAATGACATCCAAGGAAGCACATGAACCTTAGTGCTAGTGGTTAAAGATATCAGTTTTCAAAGGAAAAGGCATAAAAGCTTTATGAATTGCTAACTAACAAATGATTTGGATTTCACACAGCCAGTCATGTTACTTTGTTACAAGCATCTTTTTCTGTTCAAATCTCCAAAAGGAACCATTTCAGTGCAACTTGCAAACAGATGGGAACATACCAAATGCTTTCCTTTAGGCCCCATGGCACCCCTTACCCAAGGAACTGAGCACCGGACGGTCCCGACTTCAATCAGGCGGCTGGCCAGACCTTCACCTTCCACCATGGGAGGCATGGTGGCCAGGCGGTGGCGTTTCACCAGCCGGCAGGTCACGCGTGTTGGAGCAGTGCATTTCCGTGGAGGAATAATAATTCGGAGTCCATTATGTCTGCAACCTCGCATGGCACCCCCACGAGCATCCACCATGAAACTAACTAGGAAGCTGGAAAATCAGGGGGAAAAAATTAGCTGGAGAAGCAGACTGACGTTCCTTTGGTTATGTTTCACGGATGTAACAAACTACAAATAGACATACAGCTCTTTCTCATGACATATGATTAGAAAAAGCCTTTCTCCCATGTGAAGCATTACAGAATCACAGGATCTACTAGGTTGGAAGAGACCTCCAAGGTTACCGAGTCCAACCTCTGACCTAACACTAGCAAGTCGATCATTTATTAATTAAACTGACAGCTGCCATCTAAGAGTTCGTCACAGAACTAGTTTTACTTTACAGTGCTGCTGTTGGTAGAAATACCAGCAGTCACTCATAGATGTGTGTTTGTGTGCACACCATATACATATGGGACAAAGTTACCTGCAAATATCTCTACTCTACCTGTGAGCATCTGTAATGTTCAGTTGGCACTCTTCAAATATTTTACAAAACTAATATATCTTGAAATGATTTACAGCTCAATGATATAAAGCCAATTCTGATTGAAGGGGTGTTTTTTGTTTTTTAGGTTATCTATGTAATTTTCTAGTTATTTGATAAACTTTTTTTTTTTAAAAAAAAAAAAGCTCATTAAAAAAACAGATTTCATTCTTGAGCATGTGGACACAGCTCTTACTGAATCACTGAAGCTATCACCAATTTATGTCAAAAATCTCCAGCTTTAATATTAATCTCTCAAAGAACTTTTCCCTTTATAATAAGACTGTTGAAAGAATTATTTTAATGCAGGAAGAAAAAAAAAACTACAAAAAAGTGACTGTTTCGCACTAAGGTTAGATACTTCACTTTTTTTCCTTAGCCTTTGCAACAGATTATGTTTTTCATAAATTGGTTAGGAAATTACAAATGGATTAGGAGAAAATAGTGGTGGGTGAGTAGAACCAATAGAAATCCTTGATTTATTAAAGAAATCTTTCATGCCATTAAAGAAAGATTTTTTTTGTTTGTTTTATTTCTTTACAAGACAAGCTGATAACCCAACATGTCATCATAGTTTGAAGACAAATTTTGGATTTGGGTGAGCTGACAATAGCTAGTCATTATATAGGAGGTTTACTTATGGATTTTTGTCTTTCTGTGTTATTTTGCACAGCAGTGCAATGTCCCAGTGGAAAACTCACAGATGCAGAAAGCCAGCTACAGGGAACTCTCCTAGCACAAGGTAAATTATTTTGTGTATATCTTATTTATATCTTTTTCTTTAAAAGGGAGAAAAACATTTCACAGAATTTCTTATAGGCTGAACTTTTTATAGTTCCCTATATAGCCAACAGGTAGCTTTGGAAAGATTTGCTCCAAAGATTAGGGATATTCTTGGGAAAGGTACAGAACTATTTCAATTTCTTTTACTGGTTTATGACTTAGGATCATGCCTGATGTGGGATGGGAATGTCAGGTTGCTGGAAGTGAAAATAAGTGCAGATGAGACAGAACGGTATCAGGCCTACTTCTAGCCACTAAAATAGAATCATCACAGGGGGAGTCGCAGAAATGCTACTGAAGGACCTGCAATAGAGAAAAGCCCTTATAACGTGAGTTACAAATACAGGTATTTTTCCACTGTCCCCTTGACCGTTCTGTGCAACAACAAACGTCCGTTCAGTACCCACACAGCTACAAGTAATTCCACATGCTGTAAAACACAACACTCAACACACCGTGCAAGTCAGAGAAATGGATGAGGGAGCCACAAGCGCCAGTCAGAAGCACACCATGCACCAGGGATGCCAGTCTTTCTCACACATGCAGTCTCCTACTCTACTGCCATTCATATACCTCTAGGCTTTGTTTAGTGTAAAAGTCTGGGTAGTACAACCATTATCTCATTCCTTAGAGGTTGGTGTTTCTGTGGTTTTAACAGGGGGGAAAAGAAAGAAAATGAAAACATTTTACAGCTTTGATTCTCCGGGGATGAATTTAGAAAAAATGGGAGCTTCCTTCACAAAATACATACTATACATTTTAAAGCACAGAGGAAAGAAGAGCTTTAAGAGATACTAAATGCTCAATTGTTGCAATAATGCTCCTTTAACTGTATGAAGTAGTGTTATCAAAGTGTTTCTGAATTACGTTTCAGAGAATTGGCCCAAGCCTCTGTTATGATGCGTGCTTTAGAGGCAGTTAGTAACAGCGAGTTCTCGAAGAAGAGTTTCACATTTTGGTGCAAACACTGTGAGCAACAGAACGACTACCCCCATAATTACCACAAGCTGCTGAGTGCACTTACTGAATAAAATTAGCAATCGCATTGTTCGTTGTGTAAGCTGTCACGAATACAATGTTTATGATTCATTTATTTGTCATTGTTGACGTAATACTCAAGATTGCATACTTCAACAGGATCATCTTCTTTTCCTGCCCATCACTGAAAATACTAGTGCTAGTTCATCTGTCTGTCTTATATCCGCCTTAGCATATCTCCCCGTGTGTCTCAGCAGTGCCAAGAACACCGTCAACTGCTAGAAGAATACATACACACAAAAGGTAAGGGTCAAATCCAAAAATCTTTCCTCTGATCACAATACTGGGTGCTGTTGCTTTTAATATGGTGCTTTTTCTCTGTACGGTAATTCCTTTCAGACTAATTTAAAGATGAGCAGAGTGCCTTCTCAGAAAGCACGCATTACACAGGTCAGATAATCACCCCTGTTGCGTATAGCCACCGTAAAAGCAGGATCAGAAGTGACCTTTGATTTTGACCACCTGTAAGAACCTGTATCTCACCTGACACGCAGCAACACTGTGTCCCCACACCTGCAAACTGCAGAGTCCAATACAGACCAACTAAAATTTTAACATGGCATTTCTCTCTCTAAACTTAAGAGTTTACCTCTTAATTATGATAGCAGTGTGTGTTCAGGCGTTAATTAAAGTTGTAACTTTCTTTCATTTTAAGTTTACTGAAGGTGTCTGGCAGCCAAACCACGTCAGGGCAAGGTCTGTCAGTCAGCTATCACTGACACCAACCAGTGCTCCAAAGAGTCCAACAGGCAAAGATAAGTATCACTGAAAGGTGGACACAACAGTAGGACATCACCATTCACTGTAGAAACAGCTGTTTCTATCATAAAGATCTAATCTATTAACTAAGTAACAAGATAAAATCTGGAAAACAAGGAATGTTCATTACAGTATACACCAAAAACTAAACCTGTTCCCTCTCCCTGAAACAGCCTCCCAGGTGACATGAGAGATTTCTGAAGGGTTCTGACTTCTGGCTAATTCAGGCAAATTCAGGCAAACACAGCCTAGTACGAGGGTAGCAGAGAAAGAATAGTGCCAGTCATCATACTAAATATGGAGGAGCTGGTTCTCAAAAAGAAGCTACACACTACTGAGAAATTTAAGGAGAACTAATTTTGGAGAACTAGGACGGGCGAGCATTAACAAAAAGAAAGAAACCAAAGGGGAAAAAGTTCCCAGCTCTAAGCACGAGAGTCTGTAAGGACAGTACATAGCTGCAGGATTTCTAGAGCTGATATGGAGTGTGGAAATATGTTAATTTTCACCATACCATCCTATTTATTTCCCAATCTTTTGCCACATTTGTTTTCTCATCCACTTATTTAATCTAATTACTTTTATCCATTTCTTTAAATCAGCACAATTCATATTGGTTTGGGTATTTATATGGAAGAGTCGATAAAATAATTTATAACAAAGTATTTTCTGAAACACAGCAGCCTCCTTTATTGCTTTTTTTTGCTATAAAACAGAGCTACAAGACGGTGACATTACTCTTCCAGGACTAGAAAATCTTTGATTTTCTGAAGGACTGTATATATCACTATGTAAATAATTCATACAAAACTAAGGGACATTATAAAACTTGCTTTCTGAAACATGCCCTTAGGAAAGTGAAAAAACTGTTTGACTAATATAAAGGAAATTTAAAATTCAGATTAATTATTTGATACGTACTGCTTGTATGTGAATAGCCCTAACATATATAGCATCTAATAGCTACAGACTGGGGAAGCATCCCTCTTTAGCACTAACTTTGGATTATTTTGGCAACCCACTGCAAGAAATTAAATTTTAACTTAAGTGATGATTCAAAATCAAAGGAAATTAAAGGTTAAGGTGTCAAAGACAAAACTTGTGTGGTGGGGTGACAAGGGCAACAATGAGACAAGCTTTGTCAGTACTAGGAGCCAGGGCAGCCGTCGAGTAAGTTTCCTTTTCTGACAGTTTTAAAGGTTGAGTTAGAAATGCTGCACGACACAAACACATGACATTGACGTTTATAGTCTTGCAAACTGGACTGATACTGAGCTTTCCTGAGACTTAGCAAGGCAGCAGTGAAATTACAAGGGGTTTTTATAGCAAAATCAATTAAACGGATTAGTTTATGGGAAAATATCAGGATTTTAAAAACAACAACAAAAGCAATTCTTTTCCAGAAATAAATTACAGACTGCAGGCGACTCTAAACATGCTTCTGTTAAGCACATGGTCAGCAGTTAGACAAAGCATCATCTGTTCTCTAATTTAGCCATACCTACCCGTAAATCATGGAGGCCATTTCATTCTCTTTAATTTTAGAGCAATTATAAGCTCACCATATGAAAGGTTATTATATCAATAATAACAGCATCCTTCTGGTTAAGGACACAAAAAAGTTCCCTACATCTTTCAGGCTGATTCCCTGCCTTCTACAGAGAGCAGAGCAAACACCAATGGGTTTTCTCATGGCTCCACTTGAACAAAACACAAACTATGCATTGAATTCATCCACCTTCCACGGAGAAAAAAAGTTATTTCCAATAAATTTTTGGATTTCAAATGTGATCCCGTGTTATTCCCTTTGCTGTTTTTATTCATATGGAATTAACATAGTCTTATCCTATATCTATGCTCATTTAAAAGGTAATAGCAGGATTAACAAACAAAAAAGGGATGTGTCAGCACTGGGGGGCGAAAGGAGAGTTGCTGTGTGATCTGTAAAGAACTGCTGTTATGTAAATAGCTTTGCAGAAGAGTCA